CTTGCCATAGCGATACACGTTGCACTCAAAGCTGTCATAACCAAGCAAATTGCAAAACACTAGTTTGCGAGTCGGATTCATGTGAGCAAACCTGTAAGAAAGATTCTGGTTGTGGTTTACTAACTTGCAATGGAAAAAGCTGCCATCAGGAGACGTTCGTAGAGCGATCGAACTTGATATGTACGTCTGAAAGATGTCAGGATCAGACTTCCCATGCTCCAAACTCACAAATGACTTGTAGCAGCGTCAACGGGACCTGTGTACAGAGATGTCTTAGCAGTGGGTGTGTAATGTCATGCGGACCGGATTCAAAAACTTGTAAACTACACTGTTTTCTTGGCAACTGTAATATGAGTTGTGCATCTGGTGTTCAGGTTTGTCATATGGAATGTCCTGGAGGTAAATGTAAGTTCTCGTGTAAAGCAAAACAATGTTCATTACATTGTGAAGATAACAATTGCAAAACAGTGATTAATAAATCAGAGGATAAGGAAGATAAGAACAAAACGAAGAAAGAAGATAAATGCCCCAAATGCGAAAACTCTGGAAATAAACTTTCATTTGTCTCTCTTTTATATCCACTTCAGGTTTTTCTTTGTTATCTTAGTAATTATTTCTAACTATACATTTAAAAAAAAGGACTAATTATTTTTAACGATATTTGGGAAAAGATGATTTTGGTTACCACGTCGATTTGGAGGTAATAGTAGATTTTCTTGTGAAATTGATTAAACAATATATCAAGAAAGAGGTTGGCTTGCACCGATAAAAATCAAGGAAAATATTCAAAAATAAAAGGGAAATATGATATGCAGTGCCCAAATCATTAATTTGACTACAACGGTCCTGTCCTGCCACACAGCGTATGAGGGAATACAGCAGAAATTCGTAGTTCATCCCCACCCCGTATTTATAGTAACAGACGAATGATGAATCAAGACGAACGACCTTTCAAATTCGTCTAAATAGACAAACTATGCAGATTGACGGATGATCCGTGAGTCTGATCGTGAAGAGGATTGTGAGTGATACTTTTCATAAGCTGGTACATGCTAGCTGGTATACGATACGAAAAATGCCAGTATTGGTGCATTTAAGGCTTGAAGTTAAATGAGCAAGTTCTACGGTTTGTTACCTGCATGTCTAATACGATTTTAAGTTTCTATGGAAACAAGATATGTGTTTCAAATGAAAGGTATATTAAGTTTTTTATTTACTCTCAATGCAATTCTGCCCCTGAGGCATTAAAGTTATCAAACACGAACATTTCTTACGATCTGCTAACGTTTTCTTAGCCGTTTCGAACACTCTCTACAAATTAAGATCCCTCAAAATTATAATTGCATTTCAAGTTGTAAGGGAAATTGAAAAAGGCGTGAGGGCTGTTTTCCACAGGGACCGCGGAGCAGGGTTGCTCGCTGGGCTTTAGCCCCACCAACAATTTTTCCGTAATTAGTCTTTAATTTCAAATATTTTTTAGTTCGCTCAGATTTACAAGCATGTTTTTAGCAATTTGTATTTTTTGCTTACAAGTGTATGCAGTGAATCTTATCTTGAATACTATCGTAACTTTTACTTCTTCAACGTATATTTTAATAACCAATTCAAAGAAATGAGTATTCTAATTTCCAACGATATCTGTCGTAATAAATACGCCATGTTTACAAAAAGATTGAAATTAGTTATGTTTATATACTAAATATGTTTGGCCAAAATAAAAAAAAACAGAGACAAAAAGGACAAGCATTTGACCATTAAAACAGCGTGGTTATCCATGTCAAAATATTTGACATCATAACCAAAGCATGGTTATATTTTCGACCATGGTCGAATATACCATTCATACCATTTCCCGCGGTATATTCGACCATGGTCGAATGTACCGTTTTTCTGTATACTTGACCATGGTCGAATGTACCGTTTTCCGGCGTATTCGACCATGGTCGAGTATACCCTTTTCCGGCCACATTCGACCATTATATGGTCGAGCATACCGTTTTCCGGCCATACTCGATGCTTCCAATTTCCAATTTTATATAGATGTTTGCATGTATATGAGCACTAAAAATGCTTGAAACTTTACATAGAACCAGAATTAGATCATTTAACATGCGTGGTTATCCATATCAAAATATTTGACATCATAACCAAAGCATGGTTATATATTGTTTAATGTTTGTATATATTATATATATGAGCGCCAAACATGCTGGAAACTTTACATATAGAACAAGCATTTGACCATTAAAACAGCGTGGTTATCCACACAAAACATTTGACATCCTAACCAAAGCATGGTTATATTGTTTAATGTTTGTATATGAGCGCCAAACATGCAGGAAACTTTACAAAGTATCTACTATTTCCCAACTAATCCTTAATTTGAGAGGCATTTGCGGCGATTTCAGATCAGAGGCCTATGTATATATTTCAAAATTTTCCCGGAATCTCCTGGAAGGCGCGCGGTTTCGAGCCCCAGCAGTACAAAAAACGCTCCGTGGTCCCTATGAATAAACAGTATGTGAGCGTATCAGTAATTCTTTTTCCCCAGTGAATTTGCTTGGCATTGAAATAGTATTCAAGAATCCTAAGCCTCAATAGTTGATAGAAATTCGCAATGTAAACAGGTATGCACTATCCGCGATTGTATAAATATATTGTGGAAGAGACTTGGCGATTTCAGAAACGCTTCCATCGAAAGCATTTCGGCTATTTGAATAGTTTAATCTCCTTTCAGTAATACAGCGTGAAGATAAAATAACGGCTAAACTGGGCTGGCCGTCTCATATGAACAGGGCTTAAAATGACTTACCGTACACCAACAGAAGCAAGAATCACTTTTTGTACAAACGACGACACGTGGATTTCCTACTGATTGCGAAAGCAAAACTGGTATATTTTTTCACAGTTTTTCGACTCGTTTAAACTCGCGTGGCTACATGTCCGAATGAGACCTTAAATATGAATTTTCGACAAGCACTTAGACGAATGTGATCATTTCATTCCGTTCGAAGCCGATTACCATAAACAATTCAATTCACTGACAACGAACAAATAAAGGGCCTGTTTATACATTGAGCGAGTTATCCCGGCTAGGCGTGATCAGTCTTTCATTATATGCAGTTTTTACCTCGCCTAGCCGGGATAACTCGCTCCATGTAAACAGGCCCTAGGCGACTTGTCTACGGTAATATTGAACAATTAGCGTGTCAATTACCCTTATGATATCAATTGCAGTATATTTTAAACAATGCACGATTAAGATTTGTGTATAGACCTTTGCTTGCTATGTAATTAAATGCTTTGTTTAAAATATTCTGCACACAGCTTTGACTTTGCTACGGACAGTGCCTCCTCGTTGGAAGGTTAGGAAACGAAGAAAGGAGAATAATTTTAAGGCACTATCGACATAACGGCCCATGGTAGGATATTGTTATTAACGACAGCAACAAACAGCCCCTGGAAATAGATTCCAGTTTTTAGCCATCGCGAGCCACAGCCACTGCTCAGGTGTAGCAGCCTCGTACCCAGGCACTTTATTAGTAAAAATAAAAATGTTACATTCAGTTATTGTATAGAGGTCAGCTAAAAAAATGCCAGCGCGTGGGGGTTCTTGGGGTGGTTTTGAAGGGGAGCTTCCTCGCTAAAGAAAACCACCCCAAGCACCCACAATACCGGCTGAATGCAGCGTTATATATTTTACTATTTTAAAGCGCCTGCCGGGTACGGGGCTGCAGGTGTAGGCCATCTCACCATTCCCCTAAAATAATGCCACATTATATGAGGTAGTTTCCGAATTTCTCTTTGTATACTGGTGTTGGGCTCACCATGAAAATACCACTAAGATGGTGATTGTTGGGGGTACAGTAATTGGGGTAACCTGTTGTACCTTCCATCCATTTACCTATATTGGTTTTATCTATATTGGTGGGTTTATCTCATTGTTCAATATCAGTACGTAGTTTTTTCTTCCGATATTTCAATACTTCTTCTAATCGCAAGTATACAGAAAATTAAACATTGAAACTGTCAACAAGTGCAAAGCAGTCGCGGTTGCTTTTAAGTCACCCATCTCAGATAACAGAAACGTTGAGATACCCTTGTTCCGTTATATGGTTACGAATAGCGTTATTTTGTTCAATGAATTTCCATCGATATGTTGAATGATATATTTACTTTGACATTCGAATGATACTGTCGACCATAGTCTTTTGAGGCAAGATTGCATGATTAAACACATGTTAATCACAGAAAAATTCATTGAGACTTGGGTAAAATATCGCTACCCGTAAACGTATAAACCGAAATCCTAACATCAAAATTAATGCGTAATGGTTGAACGTCATTTCGACATTTCACTACTCAATAATTGAGATATTTGCAATTAATTATGTATTTATAAATGTGTACAAGCAGTTTGGTACAAATGTGTTTTGCGCTTTTCATCACGTTAATGCAGCTACAATACCCGGTAATTATATTGAGATAACACTTATAACATAACTGCATAGTCGTTCGTTCTCATTGAACTGTGCATGTTCACTATTTAAACCAGTGATCAATGAAAATGGACTGGTGCTGGACACTTCGCTTTTGGGTAAATTTCAAGAATGTGGCCAAGCTATAAATTCAGTTGACTAAATATGGGAACTAATGACTGGACTAGTGGTTTACCGTCTTCTCAAGAAGACATGCCCCTTGGGAAGTTTTGAATATAAAACCGTAAACCTAACCTTAAAACTACATCTTTGTTTTCACATGAATTTAGCAATAAAGTATAAATATATCATATAAATCAGTATTATATAAAAAAGTCAGGTTGGGAAGGGGAGGCGGCAACCTCGTGCCCAGGGTCTTCTGTCTTTTCCGATCAACACTTCGTGTACAAAACACTTCCTGTCATAACTCGCTTCCTCGTTTCGAGGAAATACTTTGAATATACTCGTATATATAACTCGCTATAAACAAAAAGTAAATTCGTTTTAGACGAATCGCTGAAATTTGTAAAGTATAAGAAAACTTTAGAATTTCTTAACACTACCGCTGAGATCTCCGCATTAGACTGTAGCCATATGTCTATCATTGTTGAAGGGATTTTAGACCTAACATTCGGTTTACTTCGGGATAAACTTCGAGATTACACGGCGGAACGCTTACGAGATGGCGATGTCACTGACGAAAAATGTCGCCAATTCTTTGTTCGCGAGTTGGAAAACATAAAGTCATTGCTGGAGGGGTTGTCACGCAAGGAACTTCTTGCAAGTATAAGCTTTCTTCAAGAAGGAATTTGCTTGCTGAAAAGCGCCTTTAGTCATAGAAAATTACCGGGTGAATCGCAGGAGAATGGCGGAAGCTTGGCTGACTGCCTGTCAAATCAAAATTACGAAATGGCTGACATGGCTACCGGCACGAAAAGGTCAAGAACAAATCGGGATCACTACGAGCATGAGTCTTTTAAGGAATCTATTAAACAGCTTTCTCGAATAATCAACAATCTTGAAATCGTCTCCAAGAATCGTCTTTCGTCCGCAAGAAGGTCCTTTCAAGACGCTCGACGCGAAGCTACAAGAGCGTTCAGCAACGAAGCGCTGTCGACGATGGACCGGATCTTAGCATGCAAGTTAAGAGTGATTAGTAGAATGTTTGAAAGTTTTGAAGACCCGGTGGCAGTAGCTGAGACATGTATACTGTATCTCGCCGAACTTCACAAACTTCAGGCAATTCAGAACACGTTTAATGTTCATACAAACGGTGGATTGAAGTCGCGTTTCAACAGGCAAAAACGTCGAGGTTTGATGAGTTCTGTCATCATAATCAATTATGTTTTGGCGAATTATATTTTAAGTTTCGCAATGGAGAAGTATACATTGTTGGACTGGCCTAAAATCGAAGTGAGTCGTGGTCAATTTCATCCATTACTGGATACTGCGGCAAAGGATATAATGCGCACCGCCAAAATTGCTGCGCCGAACATATTTCAATTTGATGGAAATGGAATGTCGGCTAACCCGGATGCAAACAGTGAGAAGTTCGTCTGTCAAATTACACCTGAAATATTGTCAACCGGAAGTGGCCACATCGCACATATTATAATTGAAGATGACATCATGCGATGTTGTAGTTTCGAAGAAATAACGACAGAAGCTCCTAGAATATTACTATTTGTTACAGACGATAACGAAGACAGCATATACATCGTAGCTTATGTCAAAGTGTCCACCGGCGAATTTGAGTTCTCACTTCTCGTTGCCAAAAGGATCGGAACTGTCATTACGTACGAGAAAAATTTAGAATTTCTCGCACTGGCTGAGAAAAAGTATAGGAAAAGTGCATCCGAGGATGAAATTGAAGAGTTTTCTAACTCTCCAACTCATGTTGAATTTGTTGCGGACGCTGCGTCAAAAACATTGATCTTCGGTCATCAAACATGCGTTTATATCTGCGACAAGGATGGCGGGCTTTCGAGCTACTTTGAAACTAATGGTCGAAATGACATCCTGTGCCTGACGCAAAACTGTGAACTTGTTACGGCGGCATATTCCAGTAACACAGTATATCTTTATTCTTTGAGTGGTGACATGTTGCATACGTTTGATGTGAGCCGAGGACAAATAATTTGTGACGTCGTTTTGCACCAGGCTACGCGCATGATATATGCACTGACACGCAATTTTCAGAAAGGCAAATTTCAGTTGGAGATTTATACACAAAACGGTGAAGCTGGTGGTACCTTGGATATATTTGGCATTGAGTTTTTAGCGTTGTTCCCTTTACGTGAAGGCCCAGTGGCCGTGTTATATAGTGAAGGATTCGTACTTGTCTAGAAATATGTACGGCCGCTTATACATGTATATGTTTTGAAGAAGACTGCCTTTTTAAGACGTCATTCCTCTTTCAAGTTTTAAGACAAATATAGCGCAGCAAATAACACCTATAAACATAAATGTTAAAAGTTTTTTGTAATTATGAGAACGAAAGCTTTAATACAAAACAAGACAATGATTGTGAGATAAAGTCAAAATATCACCAATTGAATAATTATTGCGTCTTGTTTTTCTTTTAACACATATAAGTTTGTAAGATGCATTGATCTTCAGAGGATGTGATTATTTCTCAGGTGTTCATTTTCTTCAGTAAATCGCGATCAAAGTAGGTACATGAAATACAAGTTATTCTTCTTTTGTTAAACCAAAATCATAGCGTCCGTTATTACATAGACGTACCTAACAGTTTTTAACCGTTTTAAAAACTTTTCATGCATATTTGCAGATTCCGATGATAGTTAAATGTATGCTAAAAAGTGTTCGTCGTAACGCAGGATTAGGCGAGCCGCCAGTGCCTTACTATAACAACATTCGCGAATCCTCTTATTAAACGTGCGATGGGTTTTAAAGAGAGTGAAATGACGGAGTTCTGACGGAATTCAACCAATTGTCTACAGATTTTCTATCTTTTGCAACGGGAAGACCATTTGCGAAAATTTCAGGAAACGAGAATGACAGCTGTCCACAATGAGAAAGAAACTCCCAACGAGATAAACCCAACTGAAGTGGCACCAAATACCCTTCCCAAGAAACTTTCCATCGACCTAGTTAGTGAAGGCGTAAAAGAGTATTGTATCACATTGTGAAGAGTAAATTTCTTCAAAGCCACATTTTGTTTCTTTCGCAAAAAACGGGAAAATAACTTGTGAGGATTGCCCAGGTTGGAAATCGCTGAAGTGTGCTCTCATGCGGTAGCTGCAGCTTAAAAAGGTGGTCGATTTTTTGAATATGTCAAGTGGCTCAAAGATTATGATCGTCAACAAATTATGTTACCTGCGACAGTGCAAAGGGGACAGGAAAAAAGGGAGGTAAACCATCGAACTGCCCGACGTAAAGGAGGAAGGACAGACTAATTCCGCGTGAAACATCCGTACCTCTCGTGTCAAGACTCCTTCCCCAAGTCACGCCATGCAACAATGGTGCCATTCACGCCTCATCCATGTTTTATCCCTCATCCGTATCCGTGTTTTACCCCAACCCTTCTGGCGTCAGCTAAATTGGTCGGCATGTTTTGTAAGTCGTACTGCGCATGCGCATTAAAATTTTTCGACAGGTAAGAAAATTTCAAGATAAACAAGTGTTTTTTTAAATGAAGTATAGTTTAAGTTGAATTGAAGTAAGTTTAGAATAAAGACAATCGATTCCCTTTGCGTAGAAATTAATAAAATGTTTGAAAGAAATATTATCGGTAATCATCCCACATGCGAATTCTTGAATATTCAATAATAAGAGCAATTTTCGAAGTAGTGGTACTTTGCCTTAAACTAATGAGTAAGGAAAATAACGATCTGGGTGACGCCAGATCTACGCCCAGTAATGCGTAAGAATTTCTGAAGGGTAGAGGTCGCCCTTGGATAGCCCGCTTACTTTCGCGGGAGATCCTTGTTGAAGCGATCTCCGTAAAAATAAAAGATTAAAAAAAGTAATATGAAATACTAGACAATACATAAATTATTATAGCAGAGCTTCAAATTGTGACGATCAGTAATAACGGAAGGCAAATTGAAATTCAAACTTTTGTTTTGTAGTAAATATCTCCAATGCTAGGTTAGCAGTGAAGGTAGTGTGACATGGTATAATACTTTCTAAGTCAAATAACTTTGGAGTTATCAATTCAATTATCATAATTCATCTAGATCATCCATGAGATACATAGACTGAATCAGTGGTCAAAATTTTTGATTAATTATATGAAAGCACTTAGAAATACCGAAACTGGTTAACTCTGGTTAATGTACTACAAATATTTGAATTTGAAGACGACTGCTATGTCGGACGGCCCCACAAAGCCTATCAAAGTCCCCAAATGATCAGAGGACTAGAAGGCCCACTACCAGAAGGCTCGTCCTTAATTTTTTCAAAAATATGCAATAAATAATACACTGGCCAGAAGACAGAGCAGGAAGCCATTCATATTGGAATAGCATTAAATTGATGTCGTGGGGCCGACGAGAGAGCACGGCGTCTATTTTAAAAACATGTTTTATAAACACCTATCTAATTAATTTGGTAAAAATTGGCCAAGGATTAAAAATAGTCTAAACTAATGTTAATCGTCTTTGCTCACAAATTTTCTAATCAATTAAAAGCATCACACAGAACTTAACTCACAGTAAGCTTGGAACATCAGCAGTTCAGTGTTGTCCTTTTCGATATTCAACACGTGCCTGGCAGAGCAGAAGACGGTAGTACCAGGAGAAATAACAATCTGCTTGTTAGAATCAGACGATTCAAAATGTCCTTTCCCTTCGATGATAATGATAATGCTCGGACCGTTCAGCGCCTTCAGCGTATAACTGATCTTTTCACAAGGAACCTGTGCGAAGTAAAAGAATCGCATCGTTTTTTCACAACGTAAAGAGCACAAATGAAAACAGGAAAACGAATGCCAAGCGTAATTACAAATTTTTGGCGTGATTAAACATGCTCAGAACAGACTATACAACCTATGCGCATACGAAGCAAATTTTGAAAAACAACATGTGCGATTCATCTGCGCATCCAAAACTTACTAGTATTTTTCGAACAGCAAAATCGGGCACAGGGGGATCATATATTTCCGAGAATAGACAAGTCGGATCTCGCTCGCATTTGAACATGTTGTCTTCCCTGGAGCCAGCTGTGTAATCAAGCATGTCACAAAGCGTTTCTACGTCACGGAACTTTGGTGTCAGACCAGCTCGTATTGTGTTATCGCTGCAAGCCATACATTCAATGCAGTCTGGAAATAAGAGCAATAATGTCGGTCTTGTGAGTGACAGCTTATGGTATTTTACATGTGTATTTTATCTTTTCTCCCCCATCCCCTCTGGAAATCGGCTGTGGGTAACAGGGTTAAGGTGTGTAAATAAAAGATACCCCCAATGCGCATAACCTTGTATTACTGTTAAAAATAAAAGATGAATGAGGTTTTCAAAAGAACAGCCGGCAGGTTATCTTTAAAATGTAACGTGTAAAATGTTACGTAAAATGCTCCTTTTCCTTTTTCATCCCATGCATCTTAGCAAAATATCATTCGGATGCCATCATTTTCTTTATTGTAAATATAGCTAATTTACCATATAGAGAGTACAATAGAGTACATTCTATGAACAACTAGATTTTCTCTTACCTCCATCAAGGTAAGCATGTGGTAGGTTAGGTGCCAGAAACATCGCTTGTCCGGGCTTCAAAATTATATGATTCATAAAGAATATGCAAAAGCAACCGACGTCCCCTGGAAATTGTGAATTTAACCGTAGCAGCAATTCCTTTAAATCTGCATACGAACTATCGTTCAGTTTACTCATTCGGTTAACCAGAGCTGACAACGATTCCTTAACAACGTTTGTGTCTCTTGTCATAAGGGATCTAAAGCATTTCTTGAAACGTGACTCCCTAACTTGCTCATCTTTGTTACCTATACGTAAAATGAATTAAAAATCTACGGAAGAAACTTGGATTGAACCGCCGATCCAGCAAGGGGGTTACGGGTTACCTTAATGCTGTCTAACTTAATGCTTGATGAAGTGTAGTTATGAGTGTAAGGTATTGCATGCCCTGTAAACAATTTTGGTCATGCAGGCATTGATGATATCGCAAATTCATCTTCAAGGGGACTGAGGGTAGGTGAAAGGTATATATATGGTATATCATGGAGTTATACGTATATATCACTCACCTTTACAGGCTTCGACAAACAAAGAACTTTCTTCAATGCCAACAACAGTTCGCAATTCTGGCATGGTATCCAAGTACTTGGCGACTTCATCGTAAGGCCGAAAGCCACACAGTCCTTCGAAGTCTGTAAGAGCTGTAAGGAAATTTCACGAGAATTAAATGCTCCACTATACGTTCGTGATCAATTTACTGCTGCTTCCTCGTCGGCGTGTTGTAGAAGGGTAGAAGTGCGTAATAACGTAGGCGGAAATGGAAATAAAAATAAACGCAGGGTAGGTAGGTAGGTAGGGGCAAATCGAATGTAGGGACTTACCGATGGCCATCTCTGGTTTGTGATTGTCATCGGGATAGTTTTCGGGTTTTTCACGATGAAGTTGAGCAGCTAACTCTTTGGTAGGATGAGCCTAATAATTTTGACGTGACGACTGAAATATCTACCGTAGCTGATCTCCGCGATTATACTCATTCCAAAAAATGAAGTTTCATTTAAATTGGAAAATTGAAACGCTCAAGGCCTGTTATAATGGCTACGTTTTTGGCGACAATTGCATGAAGGTATTCAACTCGGTTGGTGATAAACGCTTAAAATATGAAGATAAGAATTGTGGGAAAAAGTGAGAGGATGGCGGCATAATATTTTTGCCTTTTTTTCTACATGTTCTACATGTGTTTTGTGTGTAGAATAACCATGTGTGCAGAATAACTATGCCTATGGAGAAGTTTGAAACCTGTAAAAAGCTGTATCAAAATACGTACCTTCATTGACCGGATTTAATAACGGTCAGTCAAATAACGTTTCATCTATAACAGCCCTTTTTACTATGTAGAGTAACTGTGTAAAAAACAGGCAAACCTGTATCGAAAGACCTTTATTGACTGAAAGCACTTTAAACAAAAATGGTAAAGAGCCACCAAAATTCTTCAAAACTTCTTCGCCCAATGCACAGGCTGGCTGGTCTCTGATCCATGCTTCTAAAGTTATTTGAACCTCGTTATTGCCGTTACTAATCACGGAAGGTCCTTTCTTGTGCGTTCCCATCCAATACTATACACATGTGAGGAAAAATTACCGCTGAAGATTCTTGGTTGTACTTGTCACATCAAACAGGGTTTTTCAGTGACGTACAGTCAGTTTACGCAAAACGTGCAGTATACTTCAATTAATATGAATTTTGCGGGGTGTTTAAAATGCCAAATGCATAAAATTACAGTTCTTATAGTATTGATCTGTGTAGGAATATTCGCATGCATAATTTTGGCACGATATAATCAGATGAGCCGAAGTGATATGGTCTTATGGGGTTTATAGGAAGTAATGTCCAGTTGTGGGTACAGAAGTAATGTTCAGTCGTTTTTCATACAGACACTAGCTCATATGCATTAAATCTAAATTTAAGGCCATAGTGAACCAGTATTGTGTGAGATACAAAGACAGTTTGTCATAAAGATCTCAAGTCTCAAGCTGAGACATAAAATTATGAGTATAAAAATAAGGTAATTATTAACAGGAAACTAATTTCATCTTAGAGGCAGGTTTGGCAACCTATGGCGATCAAGAAATATCTGATTGCACATGATGAAACTGTCGGAACGCCTAGCTATTTACTGAAAAAAAATCTGCAATCATCCAAGTTTAGCCAGCTTGCACTATCACCCTCAAAATTATTCACTTTTTTATTATACCACAAGACAAAGTTTATAACTTCTTTAGAAATGTTTCAGGCTTGCAGCCTTGTTAAAAAATAAGGTGAAAACTAGCTAGTTTCTTAATTGGAACATTTAAACACAGCCGCAGCAACAGACATTAATATTTGTCAATTTATTCATGCTGAGTGGCTGATAAATATATAGCTTAGCTGACACAATATATTTTTTTCTATATCAGGAAATTTTAATTTTTGCAATTTGCCACCAAATATAGAGAAAGAATTAGGAAGGAAGCATTACATCAGTCCCAAATTTGTCTGGAACAACTCAATGGTGGCAAAACTTTGAACAGGTACCACCTACTGTATTTTCTCCCCACATATACTGCAGTGAATACAGCACTTACATAAGGGTGTCTTTTCAACAGTGCAAATTATAGTATGCATATAAGTGCCTGGGGGCCTAATTCATGTTACTGAAGATATTTAATAACTCAGTAAAACAGCATTGTAACCACAGCCAGATTGTTGTATGAGCAATTGTGGCAATAAAATTTTTTTTCACTAATTGGCAGCTGGAAGCAGGGGGTTCTGGGTTGATAGGGTTTGTCAAATGTAAATCTTGACATCAGTAAGTTCTTAGCATCAAATGTGGTATAACATACTAAGACTGCCTAAAATAGACAAAACACTTCTCGATGTTTTGACCTGAGGGCCTTCATACTAATCAACTCTCCTGATCAAGGTCCTCATGCGAAACATCGAGAAGTGTTTTGTCTATTTTAGGCAGTTGTTATACCACATTTGATGCTAAGTTGTTTGCATGAAGATGCTGCCAGGCTGCTCCCTGGTTATATCAGTAAGTTCTTATGTTTTCAAAACCATTTGGTAGCTATAATAACACCATAATATATTGTCCCTCATTTTGCACACCACATGTGTCCTGAACAGCCACCCTAATTACTTATGCACATGAGTGGCAGACTAGTGCCAGTGTGGAAATGCTGCTGGTTGACTGCAAAAAAATCAATACAGTTTGACAAGCTCAAGCTATTATTTGGCCGTAACTGATCATTGATGTATATACTACAGGTAATCAAAGTGAACTATCGGATCAATATGTGTCGACTGGATTTGCGCGCAGTTAAAAGTTTGCGCGTGTTAAGTCGATAACGCTGTAAGACGTACCTCGGCATAGGGAGTCTCTTCATCGAGTTGAAATTCAGTGTTGTTTTGCGCTAACCTGGCCACAGTACTCAGGGAGCCTCGTCTTCCCCAAGCATATGTTTGGACACAGCATCTTAATGCCACAGCTAAGTTGCGGGAAATATTTATTTTTTATTTATTTATTTATACTCTTCGCCATGTTTGGGGCTAGTGAGCCCCACAGAGTTTTAAATGGGTCCCTTGAAAATAAATTTCATTTTGAAAGTTGAAACAAAATGAAATTTCATTAACAAAAAATAATTACTCTGCATGGTTCGCACTTACCTTTTACAGTCTCCATGAAAAATTAAAAGCAAAAAATCTACCGAAAATCTTAACCTCCAAATCCTTTTTTTCCTGCCACGTTCATAGTCCTGCGTCCACGGTCCTAAATATTTATTTGGTCAGCAATGTCATTTACATTTTTTGTCATTATCCTTTGATGATTTGATTTCCCTTTTGTAAAAAGGTTTTCGTAACTTTTGGTATATTTTTATTTTTGGCAGAAAATATCTTTCATGTTGATAGCTTTTTTATAGTAATTGCATGTTCAATAAATCCTTGAGATTAGCCGGATCCCAGGTAGGATTAGATCCTATACCCAAGTGGAACATGAAACCTTATATACACTAATTCGCAGATTTAATACGGTATACTTTATTTGTTGCTAATCGTGCATCATATTTGTGCTAAAAACTTGGGTCCTTCGTGCTCGAGTAAATGACATACCTAGATCGTAGTTTTTCGCACGCTATCTAATGATTTACACCAAATAACCGTTCCCATATATAATCTCTGTATTAAGTCTAACCTTATCTATCACATGACATTAATTCTAATATACAGGGTGAGTAAAAAAAACCTGACAACTTTGAAATTCAAATTAGCCGCATAGCGGCTGTAATGTGACTGAAGTTGCCTAAAATATCTCATGTGTATACGAAGCATATCAAGTAAGTGAACCCATTAATTAACCTAAAACCGGTCCCTTTAGGAGTTAAAATGCATTCTAAGCTCTGTAAATGAAAAAGAACAGTTTTATCAAATCGTTTTTCTAGCACACGCGCCACTCAGGCGCGGATCCAGCCGAAAATCTGACCGTGTCATATTGGACTAAAAATTTTCCGGTCGGGGGAGGGGGGCGTATGGCGAAGGGGGAACGTTTAAAAGCGAATATTGTAATTTGTAAATCCCTGTACTTTCATAAAACGACAAAACCATTTTCAAAAATTTTGTTAAGGTATTTACGGATATTTCATTCACACTCAACATAACGTGAGATTTGCATACACAAATTATTCACAGCGTAAATGCAAATTTGTATCATATGGCGCTTTCCATTAAGCGGCCAAAAAGGTCAGACCGGTCATATTTTAAATTGAAATAGAGTATTTCGTTAAGAATATAGCGGTGAAACTGCATTTCCTGTGCTAGGCAGATGTAAATAACGATATACTTTTGTCTGTACCGACTACCGAACACAACAGAACCGGTCTGGCCGTTTTTCCGCATAAAGAAGAGCGCCCATAGTTCGATTTAAAACCTAAAAGTCTTACCTTACAAGGACATTAAGTAAAGATTTTCAGTATTTGTCTCTTGGGAAATAGCAGTTTAAAAATTGTCGTTGCGATTGTATAACGCGAGCGAGCGAAGCCTTTCTTTAGTAATAATTCCATCATGTTGTAGCCTGAAGAGCGATATTTCCCCTGAAATATGCTCGCTTAGATTTGCTTTTGAGAAATTTCGACGGATTCATGTATTAATACATTCGATTCAGCCTGAATCAGCCAGGATGCAGCGAACAGACCAATTTAACATGTTATTTGTAAACTATATCCGAGTTCGAAGTCGAGAAGTGTCGAACTTTATTGTTTATCATGTTTATTGCGCAATCAAAAACAGGCCACCGTGTCGCACCGTGTCGCACCGTGGCTCACGTGGCAAAAGCTTGCCCTGTGATTGGTTTGCTACACTGCACCGTGTCCGAACGTTACTATATTTAGTAACAATTGCGCAATAATCTGCACGCTGACCGTGTCAACTAGTTGCTGTGATCGCAGCTTCGAATGCACGACTAGCTTCCGAACATACTCGGCACAATTCGGCAAGCTTTCGGCGAATTTTATAGTTCAGTGTTAACTGAACAATCATAATATGAAACAAGGAATAATAATTGGGAATTTGTTACCACTTTTAGCAGGAATTGGTAATAATATGACAACGATTACGAAAGATATTACTCAAATTATTTGTTTTAGACATATATTTCCTTAATTCTGGTGTGATTCAAAGAATTAATATGTACTTCTAAATAATGTGTGAATATTAGATTGCAGATGGGAAAATTCTGGATGGGAAAATCTGACCGTGGCTCGAGCCACGTTCGATACGGTCTGGATCCGCGCCTGCCACTCACCCTGAACAGTGAGTAATTTTTTCCTACACACTACACACATACTACACTTAAAAAACTCGCCAACATAAAAGGTTTCATTCAATTCAGGCCTACAGCCTTGGTGCTGATATGCCACAATTTTCTGGCTGCTTCGTCATCTTGAGCTCCCCGCGATGGCTCCCTGACTTTACAATCAGCAAAATACAAGCCAGTAACACCTTCCACATCCTCAGACACTGCCAAATAAATATTAGTCTGGGCACCTTCTTCCGGGGTTTTTAGAAACAAAGAAAACAAAATTTGCGATGCAATTCGCTCGATTGTACCTAAATTACGACCAAGCTCAGTCCTCACAGCACCGGGATGAAGTGCATTAGCTGTTACACCTGTGCCCTCCAAACGTTTTGCCAACTCTCTTGTGAACAATACATTCGCCAGTTTACTTTGTCCATATGCATTCCACTTTTTGTAATATATCTCACTGTTTATATTATCGAAGTTGAATGATGATGACAATCTATGCGCCTCAGACGACACCACGACGATGCGAGAAGGTTGTGAGGATTTTATTAAATCAAGTAGTAAATTGGTTAGTAAGAAGTGTCCGAAGTGGTTCACTCCGATCTGAATCTCAAAGCCATCTTGTGTCTTCTGAAGCTCAGGTGGAACCATCACTCCGGCATTGTTGATCAATACATGTAACGCCGGCTCGGTATCGTTGATATCTTCAGCGAATCTACGAACAGACGCGAGGGACGAAAGGTCAAGATGTTTCAGAACTAAATTAGAGCTGCCAGACTGTTTCGCAACATCATTTAAGGCATCTTCTCCTTTCTTTAAATCACGACATGCCAGGATTACACGAGCACCCCGCTTCGCTAAATCTATCGCGGTTTCCTTCCCAATGCCAGCATTGGTTCCAGTGATTAGGACAGTCTTGCCTTCCATTCTTGCTTCGCTTGTACAAACACCGCCGGCAAAATACCTTCGAAACTTACTGTATACGACCGGAAGACAAGCTACGCCAGCCACTGCAGCTATTACACCGAAGCGATTCATTGTAACACTCGAGAAACGGTAGATATTTCGGTTCCGCTTGTACGCGTAAACTAACAGCTAAACCTTCCAACCTTCGTACCCAGGGTTTCCCCGCTTGGGAAAAACACTAGGTACGAAGTTCGTTTGGTTGGTTGCACCAGTGAACAACCCAGTGAACGAGTCTTCTTGTTACATACAGGGTGTATCAAAAAAAAGGAGACCTTTAGAAATCAAGCAATTGTTAAAATTTGAATGCCTTTTCAATTGCATTTGCACATATGCTGAACCGTAGTGCGTGAAATATTGATGGCATGCATGCATACATTAGAAAATGAATTGACATTTGTACACAAGATTGTCTGCTCCTGGGAATTTGAAAATAACTTTAACAGCATAAGGAAAATAATGACCCAAAAATATTCAAATGACTAAGCACACTACCAGAACAAAAATGGTTCAACTGACTTCGGAGCAAAGAGTTTTTGTAGTCGTAACTTATACCCAGCCTGCCGTCATCAGAAAAGCAGTTCGCGATATGCACAAGCGTACGGTAGTTTGTGTTGAGAGAAATGGAGGCCACGTTGGAGGTCATGGTCCATGACATTCAGTTCTTTTGATGTTCAATTTATCAGCAATTTTCAATCCGGATCGAAATGTTAAATGAATCTGTGTCAGATCAAGTTGTAATTCATTCCTGACTCATGTAAACATTTTAATAGGCAGAGTTTGTAAAATGGGATGCTGAGCCATTCCGGATTCAAAGTCAATTCTAACTCATGTGAACAGCCCTAATGCTCGCACGCAGTGTTAAAAATTAATGAACAAATGATTTGTTCATGTTTTGAAGGAACAGCTAAAGCAATTTACCACGCATACTGTTATCGCTTTTGTGCTTAGTCGTTTGTGCTTAGTCATTTGAATATTTTTGGGTCGTTATTTTTCCTTATGCTATTAAAGTTATTTTCAAATTCCCAGGAGCAGACAATCTTGTGTACAAACGTCAATTCATTTTCTAAAGGTCTCCTTTTTCTAATGTATGCATGCATGCCATCAATATTTCACGCACTATGGTTTAGCATATGTGCAAATGCAATTGAAAAAGCATTCAAATTTTAACAATAGCTTGATTTCTAAAGGTCTCCTTTTTTTTGATACACCCTGTAGAAATGGCTCGCTAGCGAAATATTTCCATATTTAATTTTGAATTGAGGACCAGTTCTGCCTGACGGATTCCTTTTGTGTAAGCTAGTGCACTTACAAAAGAAATCCGTCGGTCGACCATTCCACTATTAAACTAAATGCTGAACTATAGGAACATTCATCGGTCCTGAGATGTAGAACTGAAAAGAGCATCCCAAAATTAGTATAAATCGAAAAGTTATATATTCAACTGCCTCAGGTCGTATTTCTCGCACATATGTATTATCATACAAAAATTTGAAAATCGGTTTCTCTGTACAAAAACGTTTATTTGCTCAATATCTACACGTCAATTAAGTAAAACAGCCCTTCGGCCTTCACGTTGCCCGATGATCCTGAGCCTGAGGGAAAATTAGAAAGAAAACCGACCTGTTTAGAATTATGCTACGTAAATAAAGTTTGCGATCCTTTTCCTTCCAAAGTTTCTTATGAACTTAGCCATCACTTTTGAATCAGCAACACCTAAAATAAGAGTAAACTACGCGCAGCTAATATTCTCCTCGTAAACACTGACAATGTTCATCACACAGAACTGTCTCTGTCATTGTTATTACGGAGAAATGCAACTTTTTCATCATTTTCCGACTCGTCACTTTGACTTTGACCGTCTGCAGCTTCATGTTCACTGTCGCTAAAATATAAAAGAGAATCGACAAAGATAAGGGATTGGCTGAAATCTTGTACATAAGTGGCTACTATCAGGGGCTTGAGAGGCAGAATGAGCCAGGGGGCGGTCCGGCTCCTAACAGGTAGCTATTCAGACTTTACTGTGGCATGGTTATATTTAAAACCAAAACAAATAACAAACTTAATTAAGACGGGGGAATTTGAAATTTAAAGCCTTTACGCTTTATATCAAAATCCCTAATGCAGATTCAGTAATCAGGTTCAAACTCTATATACTGCGGAATGGTTATATAATAAAAAAGACAAGGTGCTTTAATAAACTTAAGAAAGATGATCTTTCAAATTTAAAGTCTTTATACATAAAAGGTCCCATCATAATCAGTAATCTGGTTGTGAGGCGATAATCCTTTTTCCATTGCAGCAGTTTCTTAATATTTCATTACATTTCATGGATTGCGGAAAGTGAATTTACTTGAACGGGAAACATCACCAACACATTACATCCCCCCCTAGTCCCTTCCCTGGTCTTCCCCCTTTTACAGGCACTAATGATTACATTCACTCGTTTTCTTATTCGAAATGTTCATGGAGACGTGCGAACAAGGATAGTGGTAATAATTTTCCGAGCTCGTCGAAAACGTCTCAGGAGTAATTGTCATTGCCACATTGTGATGTCTTAAATTTTGAAAAATTAGTTCAATTGCTGCATGATCAATTTCCCGTCAGAATCCTGGGGTGCTTTCCTTTAAGTGGAATGGTAAAAATGGTAAAACTTGTCATGTTTGTAATTAAAAAGTGTATTCCGTTAGGAATATAGCGGCATGCAAAACTACATTTGTCGTGCCATAGGCAGATGTAAGTATATATAAACTATATATTCGAATGCAGAGTTCTTAAAACACTAGTAATGAAAATAAAATACCAGTAATGAATGTCTGTAATGAAATACACTGACTGGACGTATATTTAAGGGACGGTATAGCGCTCCTGGTCCCTGCAAACCCGATGGAACTGGACAAGGCAACTATATGGTGAACGAGTTGAGTGTATTTAACTATACCCATCAAAGTGTAGTTAAGAGGTTTGTCACAGAGCCTTAATTAGCTGTAATTAAACGTTCAAGCGGGGTCCAAAAGCGGGGTTTCGGTCACTGTAAACAGTTGGAAAACAGTTGGAAAACAGTTGGAATATGCCGGAAAAAAAACAAAATGACACGCACGACAACGACATGCGCCAAACTCACTCTCTGTAAAATGACACGGATGAATCCTTTGTTAGTTTTTGCTTGCTGAAGCCCTGAGGTACTTTCTTCCTACAGCAACAGCAGATGGTTAAAGTGATGAGGGCGGTGAGTGCAAACGATATCACAAAAATAATGGCCATGCTTTTCCCATAGTTCCTCAGAAGTCGCATAGCTGTAAAAAGAATTAATGAAAGAACAACGTACGTTTATTGTTCTTCTAACAAAACGGGTTTAAAATGAAAAAAATTGTATGTTTACAATACGTTTCGGAGCGAAACTCCATATTCGAGTATTGCCGTTTCAACCTCAAGGATTTTTCCCCTTGTTGCCGTTTTTGCAACAACAGTGAAGTTGAAATTATACTCAAAGACGTTGTAAACAACAATGTGTTTTATGTTTAAGCGTGTCAGGTTTTGATGAAAAGAACTGTTGCAAAATAGGGGCTTCAGACAATTCGTACGTTTACCGTCACTGGAATTATGCGCGACTTTAAGGCCGGTGGAAAGTTGTGTATCAAGTTGTAGTTTATATGATACCATGCAACAATGATGGTAAATCGATTCGTTATGATTGTTCTTCCAACTATAAATTTATGATCTTCATAAAGCAGCCGAATTAAAAAAATGCGCGGCGGCGTGGGAGAGAATAGATCATGCTGCATGCTCTTTATGCCAGGAACTATTGTACCCGTTTCATTTGGGATTGATATTCAAATCAGTACTGTTCTCGCAAAACGTAGTGTGGCCAATGACATTGTGCTAAAGTAGTTTTGGGGACATTAAAATGTTCATATAATGGCATCGGCATGGATTATAAACTCACCGGTTGAGCCTGCATATGCAGGAGGTTCATTCTTTTTATTACGAGGATAAAGGTATAACATGGAATGGTTTTTTAACAATTGTTTTCCTTCTTCCTGCACAGTATCCGCCGGTAAGCCTCCAGCACGCCAGAAGACCTTGATCTTCTTCCCGTTCTTAAAATGATTAAGGTAGAAAAAGTACATTAATAAAGAGAGAACCACACTTGAAGCATTCGCGCAGGGTCTTCATGCAACTATCAATAGTGAAATTTTCACGGAAGCGCACGCATCATCCACTGCCTAAAAACGGATCTATTCCCGGGTTCACCGGACGTTATAGATTTCATTGATGCATGGTCACCCCGGTAAGCCTCCAGCAAGCCAGAAGACCTTGATCTTCTTCGCGTTTTTTAGAATGATTAAGGTAGAAAAAGTATTAATAAAGAGAGAACATCCTTGAAGCATTCGCGCGGTCCTCAAGACCTCAACTATCAATAGTAAAATTTTCACGGAAACGCACGCATCATGCATCCACAGCTTAAAAACGGATCTATTTCCGGGTTCACCGGACGTCATAGATTCCAGTGGTCAGTCACCTTGGTAATCGGATTGAGTAAATCAATTTATTTGTTGGTTTTGTGCTTGGTTGCAAATATGTGCAATTTCATACGATCCACACCTTATTTAATTTAATCAAATTTTACTGCATACAAAAATACTTATGAACATAAATAAAGTAATATGCAGAAGGAAGACCAGAAAGGAACTATACGAAACATACTAAAGCTGTTTCACCAAAAAGCAAAGAGCGATCAAAAGGATCAAACAATTTATACATCCCAAGAAACACGAGGTAGATCGGGATGGTTAGTGAAAGTTCAAGTATTTTCTGATTGTTCCATTACTTCCATAGATGTATACTATTCTATTAAAAAACGTCGCCTGAAAAAGTTCGAGGCTACATTTATTAATTTTCAATTTCCTTTGAGCAGTTGATTTTAGTTTAGTGATCTTTGCCGCATAATCGTCGAAACATATTTTGGTTTAGTGACCACCACTCAAATCGGTAATGTTTGACGTGGCGTTTGAGCTTCTACTTGCAAGAAAGTTCGTGTAAAAAATCTAGAGAATCTAGAATCTAGAATCAAAAGCTAGAGTTGTCATTCAGGACTGTAGTTCTATGTAGATTTAGCTCGTGTGAAGATATAGGCAAGTACGAGGGACGAAAATAGACCTTTATTAGACAGAATTAAGTCAAACGTCGAAAGTCGATGGTTTTGCTCAGCCAATCAAACTTCGTCTTATAACTGTAACATCGGAATTTTCGTGTTCACGTCAAAATGCGTCAAACACGTCATCATAAAGACTAAAGGGGTCTATTCGATCAAACAAATCGTATCATATGAATACGCTTTTAGCATTTCACAAAATATTTGGCAATTAGCATGCCTTTAAATTATTGCACCAATCACACAATATATATTATTGATCGCAATTTGTCATCTTGACGTACCACGTATTCACTCATTGCTTTCTTAAAGACACAATCCACAGGGATCACTTTCAAGCCTCTTTTTCCCGCGGGTATTGAACAATTCACTTCTTTCTTCACGTCTTGTGTTTGCTAAAAGTAGTACATGTTTATTAATTGTAAATCGGCAATACAGGAATTGAAAAACTATTTCTAAAAAATCTCTTACTGTGTCCTCTGTGTTTGTAACGTATCGTACTCAAAACAGTTGCTGAACTACGTTCGCAGAATTACAAGCCCTTGGCCTTTTATTTTGGGCAGTACTGATCTTAACCTATGACTATGAGAGTTATTATTAATCAACTAGCACCAGTAGGACCACACCGTAATTAAGTGTATAGAACTGTAACTGCACCCGTGAACTGAAAAACCCCTTGACGATTTAATTTCTGTGACAGGTGAAGCTGGCGAACTTATCTTTAGTATTACCTTTGGACTTTGGTAACGAGAATAAGCTTATCTTCTAAAAGTTTTTTGTTTAGTACTAGTAGTCTCAAGCTACTGTAGTCTGGCTTTCTGTTTAGAAATTGCCTTTCCCTCATAGTCTTAATATGCTACTTGCCTGCAAGACTTTACAAACAATTCTTATTTCTGGTTATTTTCAACGCCTTTTAAATATTTTAAAAACCTTCCCAAACTTCCTAACGGTGGCGGGGGAACCAAGAAGGAATGGCAATTGTAAATAGTAGTTGGTACAAAGAGGTTAAGGGTTTTTGAAATCTTTTATACCACTATGGAATAATGCAAACGGCATTTGAATTCTTAAAATTTAGGTTACTATGCATTTTTCTTCAACCTTGTGAATTTGACAAGGGGTTGCCACCTTAGTGGGGGGCAGGGAAACTTTGTGGCTAGGGAGGGTGACTGCTCTAAACTGTTAAAAAGGTCTCGGGTGTCTTTGCTTGCTTTTCTACATACCAATTGACTGGTTAATTTAACCTTTCAAAGTGGTGTAGGTGGTGCATTAATGGACTAAAAAACAATGCTTTTAATGGTTTATTATTGGTTGTACAAGAGGCTCTAGTCAATACCCAAGTAGGCCTGGCTGACCAATTAAACATTCCTTGGAACAGCCAAACATGCCCTGACCTGGCCATGCGCTGGACATACAGAAGATACCGAAAGGTTTCGCATCTGTAACCAGCAACAATGGCCATATTTATAAGGTTGGAATTAATACCACTAATATTAGGTAGTGTTTTAGGGTCTTATTATAGCAATACACTGCATGGTCTGCAAGCTTCTCCCATGTTTGATTAGGGAGAGGTGTGATGATGTATAAATGAGTGATCAGGATCGACATAAATATAGCTATAAGTGTAAATGTTTCTGAGTCAAAGGAATTCTGCCCCTTGTCCTTTATGACTTTATTACATACTGGCTATAAATTTAAACAAGTTATGTTCTTTGAAAAGTGTGTATAATGCAACAAGATAATGGGGACTTCCAGTCTCTTCTATATATTTGCATTTGGAACCTTTATTTTGAATAAGCTAAGGGTCCCCTAAGAAGAATTCAAGGTAATGGGAATACATATGTCAAATTCTGTATCTACTGCATCAACCAATTACCACTGATTTTACTTCTTGATTGCTACAGATGGAATATAAATAAACAAACCTTGACCGAGCTGAACTTGTTTACTTCGAGAAGAAAGAATGGAACATGATCAGCCTTATCGACATGAGGAAATCCGATTGTTAACCATCCAGAGTTTCCTGGTGCGAATAAATTTTTTATCTTGAAACGAAGTTTTGCACCATTCATGCTGACGACACAAAGTTTCCACGTCGAATTGCCACTTAAAACACGAACAGGTAGCATTTTGTGGCAAGATAAGGATGCGGAAAGTGAAAAAAAAACCGAAAACAGAAATATTGAGGATACAATCAAATGATGAGCAGCCATGATTCTTTCGAGAAAGCAAAATGATTTTATGTCCTGCTGAAAATATTAAAAACGGAAACCATCATGGATGATTGTACAAACGATGACGCTTCACGTCTGTTTATGAATACATTATACACATTTGTGTGAGTCGACTTGAAAATGTATTTGCATTTCCATTTTCCACATGTTTGCCATACTTTCGAAAAAAATTTGAACAGCAAAACTTCGGGCTACGTGTGCAATTCCTGTCGATCAAGGCCATTCTCTGCCACTATTCTAGAAAGGTAAAAAAGAACCCGAAGATGTAGCAAACTAATGGTAATAGTTGTGAATTTAACGTAAATTAATTAAAGTTGCAAATTTCCTTTACAAACCATTCTTCTAGTTATCCCGAGAGGGTAACGAAAGCGCTCCGAAGAATATTCCGAAGGCTTCCGACGGTTGATCCCGTCGTATCGGGGCTTGGGTTTGGGAAGTGTAAAGATGTGAGAGTTTCACTCGAATGTTTGTTCTGTTTTGATATAGCTTGTTTGAATATTTAATGACTGCATTTGCAGTCGATAGGCATCAGAGGGTTTCTTCGTAGTTCATAATGGACGACAGTGATGTCGCCGGAAAATCTGATGTCGTATACTCGAGCGGAGAGGACGGCTCGACGTCCGTGTTGTCAGAACGTGTATCGTCTCTCGCCGCAGCGATATATGCCGAATTTGAACGTATGATACAAAAGCACGGTCAAGATGCTGTATCGGGGCTTATGCCTTTGATGGTATCCGTTCTCGAACAGCTTGACGCGGCCTACAATGACAACAACGAGCAGTATGTTGATTTGGAACTTCTAAATGATGACAACGAACAACTGCTAACACAATACGAACGTGAAAAACAATTGCGAAAGATTGCAGAGAATGTAAGTCATATAAGTAAATATTCTCGATGTTCCCTTTCATTTCAAATTGTGATCTTTGATCTCTTATTATTATATGTTACAAAATGTCTCTATAAATAGTTGTGTCTAGGGGAACCGCGAGCTCTATTATAAAACTCTCTTTAGAAGAATTTCATGCTATAGTATGTAAACAATGCTAAAAGTTATGTCCATGAAATGTGTTCTGGGATGAACTTGTAGAGGCAAAGTTTGGGAGTGTTCAATACAGGACACAGCGTTGGTGTTGATAAGCAGAATGAAGATCTTATTTATAAAAACATCATTTTATTTGGCAGTGGGATTTACTTTCCAAGAAATTCTGTGAAACCAGATATGTGGCACAGGGTTTATATTACAGTTAATTGTTGTAATGCTTCCCTAAAACTTTATTAGACAACTTGTCATGTGTCTTAAGATTAAGCTATTAGCACATGTGCAAATATTCCTCAGACCCAAGTAAGATGAAGAAAGGAAATAAATGTGATGTGAAACTATTTCACCTATCACATGACCACATATCAGTCATACACATATGAGGTGTGATTATATTTTTCTGTCTGGCCATTTTAGGGCAATTTGTTGGCAAAGCTTGCCAAAAGTAATATTTTATAGATGTATTTAAAGTTGCTTTTACAGTCTGTTCTGCACAAACTTTTTCCTGGCCTCATAATATATGTCATTTATTTACTAATAATATAAAAATTAAAACAAGGCATACTTTATCCTGAAATGATTGATTTGAAGGGAATAAAGTTGTGTAATTCCTTCCTCAATTTAAGTATTGTTTTTAAACAAAAAGCAACTTGCAGTCCAGTATGACTATTCAAGATAATAGGAGACTTGTTTTTAGTATGTATGTATATTTCATTTTTGCTAGCTTTTGTAGGCATTGTGTGTGTGTACTTAGCAAAAGAGTTGCCTACCCTCATGTATTATAAAAAAATGTTGACATTCATCATGCGTAAACATGCAATGTCACTGCTTTTAGGGCTGCTAAAGCAGTGTCTGCCATAAATTCATTAGCCTTGGTTTACATATAACACAAACCATTTACTGACCCAAAGGGTTAAATGTATTTGGAACTTCCGCATACAGTGGGTACCTGCGATTACTAGCTGAGAAAAATCAGCTTACTCTACATGAACATCCTATCAGCACCTACTACGGTTAAAAGTTTATCCAATGTCACTAGAATTATAGTGTTCATTCATGGTAATCTTTTAGGGAATGGATGGTTTGGGATAAATGGCTAAAATGTTTATTCATCTATTGTTGTAGTTTTTTGTTGTACTGGATATCTTGATACCATGTGTAGCTTGCTTTTGAGCTCTATCTATTCTCGTGAAGTAACTGATATTGTCAAGGAAATTATTGGTTGATTCAGAACAAATTTTGAGACAAGCAAGTTTCAGCCATGAATTTCCAATGGCATCAGATGTCCAGCCAAACACACCCTCTTTATAATTGCATCACCTCCTTCAGAACACGTTTTTCAGGCCAAAGAACCTGTAAAAATACAATGAAGTGTTAAAAGAGCGTCCTACTGACAATTTTAATTTAGACCAATAAACCATCATTGCAGAAAACACTGCAACATTTCAAATGACAAATCCGTGACAGGGGTGAAGATTTTGTTCAATTTCCATGTATGTTTGGCAACGTATTTTGTGTACTTTTTGTACCCGACAATCTGTTTCCTTTAGACATTAATCTTTTGTGGCAAGCAAAATTTGTATAAATATGTAAACAACTAAAAATTTCATTGTCATTGAGCACGATAAACGTTAGATCGATAAATTAACTGGCGGGGGGGGGATATATTCATGTTTACATTACATACCGTGGGCGTGGGAACAACAGCTTTCAAAAGAAATCAGTCAGGCATAAGCAGTTAACTCTATAAGACGAATATATGAAAGTGCACACCCCCCCCCCCCCCTTAATTAGGCTTCAAGCTACGGCCTTATGGACTTGCATACTGTAAGTGGGAGATTTTAAATAATTCATCGCTAGCGGTCAAACACAAAATGGAGTTGCATGTGCGGCTGATGTGAGTGAGCCGATATAGGAGTCAACAGGAAATTGCCCAATCAACCGTCCTCTTTATGTGAAGTTGAAAACGCTAGCCGTTCAAAACTCGTTAAAACTTTGTGAACGAGCAAAAAATTCTTATTAACTTGCCATAATCAAAGACAGTGCATATTGGACGCGCGAGGTGAAGAGAGTTGGCGACTTGGCGCAATTTGCATCCTTCATGCATCAACAGGAATAGCTATGTATATCCGTGTGATTATACGTCCGAGATATACAAGATATACATCCGAGATCCGCTTATAAAAAATTAAAGTACAGTATATGTATATAAACAGGTATATTTCCATAGTAGATACGCCTTCAAGTACTGCAGATGAGACCCGCTTGTTCCGCTATATAAAAGAAGATATCATATAGAGTTTGCAAATTAAAATTATATTTCAACATTTTTTGCAAATTTTGTAGAAATACCTTCAGGTGGAAGATGAACATGAGCAAGAGAAGCGAGAGATCTTGAAGAATTTCGAGGACGAGAAACTAGAAAAGAGATCACTGGAAAGCAAAATTAAGAGTCTAACTGATCACGGTAGGTTCTCTATAGTTCTGTAATGTCGCCTGTCAAAAGGCTTACTCACAGTCACCCTCATGCATTGAGTGTGACAGAAGTTATTTCTAAGTCAATGGAAATATCTAATTAGGTAAAGCAATTAAAAACCAAGCTTTTATTAGAGTGAAACTAAAGCCATGGGAACATTATGAGAAGATTCAAATCAGTATCCCACTCAATGAATTTGAGTGTGAGTGAGCTTTTAGAATACAGGCGTGTGTGTTTTCTGGCATTTTACTGCACAATTCAAATGTCTAACGTTATTTTCAGTGCAAAGAACCGAGGAAAGATTAAATGAAAAATGTCGCGACTACAATTCTCTTCATCAAAGACACTCCGAAGTGAGTTTGCGGCTCTTTTCGCACGACTTCTCATCACTGGTAAACGACGGTACGACCTGCTAACCACGGTTACTTTTATTATCTACTGTAGATGGTTCGTCATTTTATGGAAAGAACGGAGAGGAGCGAGCGTGGTAGTCGACTGTTAGTAGGAACTCCTGGCGGAGCACTGGAGACACCGAAACAGAGGTAGTGTTTACTAATGTTATTTTAGACCCCTCACATTCGTGTATTAAGTTTATATGTTGCTTGTTTGGAAGTAAGCATAATCAATGTCCCTAGAGGGATTTGCCAGAGATTTTTCAAAGTTCGAATATGTAAATTTCATGCAGGCGAATTAGAAATTTATATTGCATTGATTCTTCTTAAGGCGATGTTAAATTATTTTTCTTAAATTTGCGGTTCAATAACTAATTCGATCCAATCAACATGGCTGCTGAATGGTTTATTATGACGTGTTAAATTTCTTCTAAAACTGATAGCTATTACGAAATTCTAGAAAATATTATCCATGCTTCTATACCCTGAGTAGCCAACCGGGCAAGCTTAAAAAAGTAGCACTGTCGCAATGTTAATACACCTGAATCATGCTCGCGTCCATTAAATTTAGATTAATTTATATTTCAGATTTAAAAATCATAAAAATTATTTCGTCTTCATGCAAAATCGGACCCTGAATTCAAAATCCAGTCTTAGTGTATAATACATTACTTGCAGTCAAAACATCACAAGAACCAAGCCAGATATGAAGACTTTACAGACAAATTTTTTATCAAAGTTGTTTTAATTTCCTATCTTGTGTTTATTATGCGTAGAAAATCAGCAGCGCGACCAGAAAATGGCGTTATGCCGGGCCTGTTCAGCTCCATATCACAACCAAACCTTGCCACCCCCGTCAGTCCAACGCCTCAAACACCAAATGGGAATGTTGACGTGAACCTTGAACAGAGTTTTGACAGGAAAAATGATCTCTCCTTCGAAGACGAGTCTGTTGTAAAACTCGAAGGTTGGTCACTAAATCAGTTTCAGCTTTTCACTAATTTTCACATACTGTGCGAACACAATTGTGCAACTGGGGTGTTTATTAAATTTTTCGTGTCTTGCAAGGCAAGTGGGTGAATGCAATACCAAAGTATCGTGCTGACGATACAATTCAAAGACAAAGCGGCAATTCTTGACCCCGTATAAGGCGATGTAGACGGTCAAAACCTACTGTAAAGCAATATATAAAGTAGCTATTAGGCTTTACTGTAGTCATTTACCGTGAAGGACAATGTAAAACTTCCGCCATCTTTACCTGTATTTTGAATTTGATATAGATGAAGGGAAAATGGTGACGATAAACGCTGTGGGAGTGGAAACGATGCACCGTCAAGCTGCCGACGCCATTCCGTTTTCCGACGAGGCACGGACGGCGATGCTGGCACACGAAGCTGCTGCCATCGTGAAGGAAAACGATAAGGTGCATGTGGAGACCGGTTCTCCTGCGGTCAAAGAACAAAACGGTGAAGTAAAACAAGAACTCAATGCCAGCGCGATAAGTTCACGTACAAGCAGCATGGATTCGGACGCGAGCAACGTGAAAACGTGCAACATATCGGATATAAGCCACATCCCTGTGGTCAGCGTACAGGATGTGCAAAATTTAATAGTTAGTCCGAGGAGCAAGTCCGAGTCGGCCAGTGAGTCGATGATCAGCGAACTGAGTCCCGATATTCGAGCGATCTTATCATCGACTCCAGAATTGGAAAGCTCGGCGACTCGGAATTCCAAGGTGAGCAAAGGCTCGAGGGATAACGTCAAGACCGCGCTGGAGTTCGACCCCGCGCAGGAATTCGTGAACACCAACTCGTTGTTCGCTGAATTGTCGTGCCAGGAGCCGAGCGCCATCGGAGAAATCGACGAGGGAGCGGAGATATCGGTCATGGGAAAAGAACTGGAGTCGGTATTAAAAGAGAACGAAGAACTCGTGAAAACAAAGTAAGTCAGGAAAAAAGTCTTAGATAGCTACGAGTGGAAATCATACACATCTCATGCACACCCAGGATCAGTCGAGAAAATGTATCAACTATCGGTTCTCCGACAGGAGTCGAACCTATATAAGCTTTTGCAATGCCTGTGCAATGCTCTTGCCACTGGGCAAATCGTTTCAGTCTTTATAGAGTTCACCACCTTAACATTCTGTCGACAGATCTGAAAGGGATTGAGTTTACGGTTAGCGTTGAATAGCGATCTTGAATGGCAATTTCCGTTTTATCGAAGCGTGTGCGATCACAAAATAGTTTATTCCACCCTCCGTTTTAGGGGCAAACTGCTGACTCAGAAAAACGACTTGTTGAATAGAATTGAAGAAATAACCAGGTACGTGGGAAAAATGGAACATCGTAATCGCGGGTTGTAAAAATGTAATTCTTCATGAGGAAGGTCAGATTTAGCAAAAACTACCTGATTGTAATTTTAGAGAAAACGAAATCTTGAAAGATGAATCGAAGATGTTGCAGGAGAAAATGCAATCGCTGTCAACCCAGGGGGAAAGTTATGGACAGCAACAACAGGAAATCAAAAGGTAAATTTATTCTCAATTCACATGAACGAGAAAAATGCGAGCAGGCCTTTCGAGATTAGTAAATACATAAGTAAAACCAAATTGGTGTGCCTGACCCAGGGAGAAAATCTTTGTAGCTGTATATTGCATGCTCGTATATGGTCCATCGATATACCGAGGGAACGCGAATTGCTCATTTCTGTCATTTGAAGACACATTGTTACTCAAGCTTCAGTGTTCTAATTGTTTTGTTGGGTCACTGAACTATATATATATACAGTAATTCTTGCATTCAACTTAGTACATTTTACTTGGACATTTGTAATTTCCCTTCGCTTTTTTAATCTATCGTTCACATTTAAATCTGTTAAAAAGAATTGTGCCAAGTACAGTACATGTTTGCAGTATATAGTTAAGTTTTCGTTTCTACCACTAACAGGTTAAAACATGAGCTGGACAAATCGACTATGGCACTAAAAGAGGTATAACACAATTTAACATTACTGCAATTACATGCAGCACTGCGCTATACAGTTCTCTCATTTGCCTCAGGGTACTACTACCCAAAGCGAAATTTCACCCACCCTCCATAGTGGTATTTTGTCAGAGGTCATCCGCATATTTGGGTTTCAAAGTTGGCTCAAAAACTAATGCAATGAATGCCGAAAGCCAATCAGAATGCCTGAAATTTTTAATATTATGTAAAACTGTAAAATAATAAACTTTCTCTAGAAAGAAACAATATTTATGCATTCTGATAATGGGTAACCGGTAGAAAATGTGAACAAATTTGCTGATTGGTTTTTGACGAAATTTCTCTTCGTTACAACTCTTTATATGCTTAGATAACTTTTTTTAATGTTTGGCTCGTTATATTATGCAGCACCAGCACGAAACCTAACAGTACAACATTGTTCCACATTTCCATTTCCGTTCTTTGCAGGCGAATGTTTCAGCTGCACATCGCAAAAGATTCAGCCGAGTTGAAATGGCGCGTGTGTTGATGGAAAGAAATCAATATAAGGAAAGGTTGATGGAACTACAAGAAGCTGTCAGGTGGACGGAGATGATAAGGTCAGTTAGCGTACTGTGTTTAAGCTACACCTTGTTTTGAATTACTGGCCGTGAAGATATTCGCATTTTATAACACAAATTTTGCGCAGAAATACAAAGTATGGATGCCATATGCTAGAATATGTTTTCATTTGTGGCCCAATTACATGCCTATTTATTTTTACAGCATATTTTTTCGCTGGATTGTACCCACAACATCTTTGCAACTCCGAGCATCACATAACTCCGAGTTATTGAGACCATCGCCGTTTTTAAGCTCGCACGAATTTAAAAAGGCTGTACATGCAGCTATACATTATCGCGTTTTTCTATTCGATTGTAGAGCTTCAAAAGAAAAAAGCCTCGAATTACAACAGAAAAAGAAGTCGTGGGTTTGGAAATTGTAAGTTGTCATATTTTGGTCTCATAATCATACTGTATGCGATCTACTTCACCTGGGATTTTCGTCTTTACAAAGATGCGAACAGGGGAATAGTTATGAATGATGTGATGTATTTCTGCCTTTTATATGAACACGTATCCACACTTTTTTACGCGTTCGCATCTATTAGTTACTGTAGCGAAAGAAAATCATCCATGCAGTAAAACGGCAACAAAGGGTGTGACACTATAGGTTTTTTATATAGATTCAGCGGTCTTTTCAATACTGCTCCAAAGAAGCCCAGCCCAAGTCCTTCGAGTATTAAGTATTCCGCACCAGGGCCTTCAGCAGGGGGATCTACAGGGCTTCCTTCGGATTCCACCGCAGAAGTATCGCCTGGAGTGGTAGATAGGTAAGTCATATTCATGGTGATGTGAATTACGCCGAAACCGATCGTTGCTATGTGTCATAGTGAGGACGCACCCCTTCGTGTTTGTATCTTGAATTTTATATGTACTAATTATTGGTTGACTTTTGCCTCGTGGTTCGCAAGACTGATTTCCGTGTATCAATGATCATCAAAATGAGTCAATTTTATTTAAAAAGTACACGGTATATACTCACACAACAAAGTGCTGGTTAATATGTAGGAGAGCAGTTTTCGTGCTCTTTTTAACAGTTTTTCCCCCCATTTTTCTCGGTATATAGTCAAGTAGATCGACAACGATTGATGGAGAAGAGAACAAGAATGAAGCAGTTGCGAGCCTCCATTAGCTCTGGTAAGAGGTTTACAAACACTCGATCTGAGCATGATTATGGCACACAAACTGTGGAATGTTGTAACTAAAAAAATCTATACTAACTAAAAAAGATAAATTACAGACATACAGTTATAATATTGCAAGAACGTTTTCTTCCTTTTGTCTTACATATGGTAAATGTAATCTTAACTGTGAACGCATAATGTACGTGAGTGCGTTGTGTTTCTTTACATAGGTATGTCGGAGGGTCGAATGCAAGCATATGGATGGAGTTTACCATCACGATATTCAACTGAGGGAGCAAATGGAAGCAAAGGTCTTGTTTCCGTCCCTGTTCCCATCTACTGTAGGCCATTGAACATCAGTGAACCTGGTATGAAGGTACTGTGTCGACCGTGTGTTAAAGCCTTGATCTATATAGGACGCTGAAGATAGAAATTCACTTTGTCGTATTAAATTACCAGTGTCTTTCTGATAGAACTAATTATGCTCTGTTTTGGAGCCACAATTAAAATTAAGGGTGCACACACACTATTTATCCCTGTTATAATGCAATATTGAATATATATCATGTTATGTCACCTTTGCTTCATTTTCAAATGTCATTTCTCATGAATTCAGATTTGGTGCGCGGCTGTGGTCGAGCGACGATCGAAAGATGGCGGTTCGCCCATAGGAGGTAGTGTATTCTACGCTGAAAGTTGTCGCGAATCGAGTTCTTCTAAGGCCAGTGATAATTCGTCTTTAGAAGAATCGTCCTCAACGACCCTGTGGATAGGGAGTAGCACCCATTCGTGCAGCAAGGTTACGGTCATCGACGGAAATTCGCCCCAGAAAATCCTAGAATGTTTTGTATTATGTTCGTCTCATCTCCTGTGCATTGCTGCTGTTCCCGGCGTGAGCGAGGATGATTGTGAAGAGAATGTGGATGTTGCTGATATATCCTATGATACTGGACCAGGTGGTAAGTTCGAAGTAACAAAATTATCCGGCGATACCAGTTGTAAAGTCCGTATTTGCTGATGCTCTTACCAAAACTAGTCAAACTGTAGCTATATTGCCAAATTTTTGATAGTTGATAATCTCTGTTATATATCACCGGGGAAATAAAAAGTGTTAAAATAAAAAAAGTGGATTTTTGCCAGAATTGTTGATTTTTAGCAGGTATACAAAAAACTATACGTCCAAGCGCGATAACGTGACGAAGTTTATACATTAACAATTTCTGCCGCTCGTTTTATTAATATTAATAATTCCGACCTCCATTTGAAGCAATGTCTGTAATGGTGTAATTTTTCTCTGTTGTTTGTAGAAGTTAAAGCCAGTCCTGGCCAACCTCGCCGGTCCGTTGATGCCTCTGATAGTTTTGAAAGTTTTAACAAGACCAACGATTCCCTGTCTACGTCAGACCTAATTGATCCTCTTGGTAAGTTGTAATATCACGATAAGTTATTATTAATTATAAGTTAGAATACGGGGCAGTACCACGTACATGTGGTTTGTTCGAGGTCCACAAAATCCATTTTCAAATCAAGCTTTATATCATCAAGTCATGACCATAATATACCATACCATACCATACCATTCCATCATACCGTACCATACCATACTATGCCATATCATACCATACAATACCATTATAATGAGTTGCCTCATTTTTCCTATCATTCGAAGAGGTGAAACCGAAAGCTGTATGCGGCGATCAAGCTGTGGTCAATGGCGCTACTCAAGATGGTAGCACTACGAAGATTGCCGAAGGACCGATGGATAAAGTCAGCACGATGCTTCCTACGGTTTGGTTCGGCGCACAGTCGGGAAGGTAAGCCGTTCGCTATGTCTACCGCTGTGTTGTGGAAATTGAGAATTTGATTTTCAAGAAATCATGCATGTACTAAGGAAAAGAGTAAGATTTGATTGGAAGAAAGAAAGATATTTTATATCAATACCAAGTATTGTTGCTTTTCCTTTTTAGCATTTATATCCATTCTGCAGTTAGTGATTGGAAGAGAAGCCTTCACTCGATCAAGTTGAGAGACTCGGTCCTCAGCATTGTGTAAGTAACCTGAGACATCCTTCTCGCATCGAAACAAAGATGTATTGTCTCGTAACCATGCTAGCATGCCAGACGAAGCACTCTAATCTTTTTTTACAGCCATGTAAAAAGGACTGGAGACACAAAAGTGCATCTTCAGTGTTTGTTCAAGACATCGACCAATGTTCCTTTTTTTTTTCATTTATAGTCACGTAAAAGGGAAAGTTCTTATCGCCCTTGCTGATGGAACAGTTGCCATCTTTCGACGTAAACCAAGTACGTTTACTTGAATATTTATACCAAAAATTTACACCAATTATTTTTCAAGTTCGGCATCTAGTTTAATACGAGAATTGTTTACTTATCAACTTTCATGCAGGAAGAAGGAGATGGCCTAAAGGTTTTGTGCAGATTATTTTTTTAAATTTATTTAGATGGCCAATGGGACGCTCAAAACTATCACTTACTGGATCTTGGGCGTCCTCATCATTCCATCCGTTGCATGACTGTTGTCCATGATCATGTCTGGTGTGGCTATCGGAATAAGATTCAAGTGATTAACCCGCAAATTATGAGGATTGTGGTAAGCAAATTATGAGGATAGTGGTAAATTGAAAAAATTCAATAGTTGATAAATATTCTCCATAAAATATTTAGGCCTTGCGGCCACAAATATGCTTACTTCTGCTGTCGATATAATGCACTTTGATTTGAATGCACACGAAGATTGCATATTCATGGACGCTCGAAAATCGCTTTATTTGCATGCATGGGCCCTTAGGAAAGTAAAAAATGGAAGTTAAGAAATTCCAATAACCTAGGGTCTTCGATTTTATACACCTTGCACACCGTGGATTTCATAACACATTTGTACGTACTATGGCACTAGCAACATTTATTTTCATGTTTATGATAAACAGCATAATTTGGTTTACAGAAATCCTTTGACGCACATCCGCGAAGAGAAAGTCAAGTCCGCCAGTTGTCTTGTATTGGTGACGGAGTGTGGGTCTCTATTCGTTTAGATAGCACATTAAGATTGTATAACGCTCATACGTATAATCATCTTCAAGATGTTGATATTGAACCTTGTGTCAGCAGTCTCATAGGTATGGTTTTACTGTTTACCTCTCATGTCACGCTCTTGTCAAATATACCCGATCCCACATCCAACTTGTCCGCACCTTAACCCACCTCTATATCATTAATGGGACGTTAAGATCTACGACGTCAGCTGCTTCGACGACGCAGCTACTAATTAATAAATCGAATATTTGAAGTCCCATGGGAGATTTACATATACAACGCGGCAAATGACATATTCTTGCGTCTTTCGTACAGGGTGTCTAAAAAAAACGCAACCACTTAAATATGCAAGAATATTAATATTGTTCGGGTTTGCACCATAGTTCAGCTAAAATTACTTTTAGCATTTTAAATGAAGGATTAAGAGCCATTTTTAATTCCCAGAGGTGCTTATCTATTGCGCTTTAGAGCTGTATTACTGTTCTTGCATATTTAAGTGTTGCGTTTTTTTTTTGAGACACCCTGTAGAGCGCCAGCATTTAAAGCTTTGACAGCTGCAATTTCAAATTCGGTTTGGTAAAACGTCTTCCATCTTTTAAGCGATGTCCTTACCATTTATTATTGTACAAATTCACAGGATCGATAATATACAAGAGTTTACCTTTTTGGCCATCAATATGAAACGGTATATGTTATCTGTCGTAGTCGCGTCGCCGTCCTAAATCTTAACTTCCCTAATAGCCGAAAACATTTATCAAGTTGCAGTAACTTGTTGAAGCCTATGGCTTGTTGCTGCAATTCGATAACAACAACCATGTTCGTATAGTGCAGCACAACATTGTTTAGGAGGTCCAACTAATTCGATGATTTGGAGTGACCACAATTATTTGGACTTTTTATAAATATATTTCTATCTGTTTTTTCCTAATCGTACATGTGATTTCATTCAGGTGCTGGCAAACTTGGCTTTTCGTTTGTTCGTATTACTGCATTAATGTTGACGAAGGATCGTATGTGGGTTGGAACAGGAAATGGGGTCGTATTGTCCATACCGCTGGTTGCTGCCCAACCGGAGTCATCCAGATCAGTTGTGACTTCGCCAACTGAGTCCTCTAACGGGGGGCCCGGCGGAGTAGTTAGGGTATACACGGACACAATGGAGAAAGGAGAGAAATCTGGCGTGTCTAGCTTTATGCCATATTGTTCAATGGTGAGTGTGAATTTACAATTAAACAAATCTGGATTATTTTGCTCTTCCAGATTTGTCAGGAACATCGACACGTTTTCCTGGCAATACGCCTTCTGTACATTAGAGAACTTTAGCTTAACCCATACTGCAAATCGCCAACGGCTATAATTTCAAGTCCCTTTTCAGGTCAATTATTTTTCTAGTTTTTCAGCTACAATTTGCCTCAATAGTTACTTCATGCATGTTTAAACATGATGCACCGATTTTACTGGCTTCAGAAACCACGCATTCATTTTGAAAATTAGAGACAAGTTTTGCTGTTTAAGGCCGACACACACCGGACGCGATTTGCCAATGCGACGCGGATATCACGAATTTTTCAGTTTTCAAAATTTGCTAATTTTGACAATGCTGTGATATTCTTGGTAATCACTGAATGATAGTACATTTTGACTGGTCTGGTACCTATATCTCTCAAAATTTTCTTTGAAAATGAAAAATTCGCGTAGCGTTAGCGAACCAGTGTGTGTGGGCCTTTACAGTTAGAGGTTTGTCATCAACGCCAAGTCAAAGGTCTCTATTAGTACTTCTATTAGTACGATCAAGCTGGGTATTTCCATCATTCCATGCAAAACAAGAATATTAAGTACTAAGTGTGAAATATGTGTACAGTAATGCATAAGATAAATTGTACTCTTTGTAATTATAATTGTAATCGTTTCTTGTACTTACACAGGTGAATGCTCACATCTCATTCCATGGGCATCGGGATTCGGTGAAATTTTTCGTAACTGTTTCCGGAAGCATGGATAAAGCAACTTCACTTTCTTCACCCAAACTTTCCACGTCATCGGCTAAAGCTGAGTCCGCGTTGTTTACATCAATGACAACGGAAAATGACAAAAGTTGGCTTGTTATCAGCGGCGGTGAAGGTTACATTGACTTTAGAACTGGTGATAATATCGAAGGAGGTGAAAATATAGGTGGGCCGGAGGACATTCCCTCAAGTTCCAAAATGTCATCGGCTGAAAATAGTCACATTATGGTTTGGCAAGTTACAGGTGATTGAGACAGCGTGATCGCTTGTCGATAAAGAGCAAACATTTTATTGTAGTCTTTATCAGGAATATCCGGTGATTTTATCTCAATATGAATGGTTACATATTTTAACGCGTATGATATACAAGAATAAGACGTTGGTTATTCGGTGGTATTCGAGCTGAAAGACATTCTGCCGCTTGAACAATATGCTATTTTAGTAAATGACTGGTTGATTTCAATGGATAAGGTCATTTAATTATTATGTGGACTCTATAGGCAAGATTCTCAAAATATCGTTTATTCGATTTCTACATAAAGCAACATTGGATGGAACGCATATATTGATATACAGTATGAAGACGCAAAAGGTGTACGAAATATCCCGTATAATTTATTGTCAACCGTTGATGACCGTCGCCTTACCAAGGTGTAAAGGTTTCGCATGTATAAACTACAAGAGCGAAGGGTTTCTAGACGATGTGCAATATGAAGCTCCACACAACGGCCGGTATCCGACGAAAGGTTGTTACTATGTTTTAAAAAGAAACGCTGTTCGTTGTCGGTTGGTCAAAATAGGAACAGTGGGATTTCACGTGGCTTACAGTATTTATCGATGCATGTGCATGTTTATTGCAATTATACCGGATCGTATAATAAAATGGACTGATTTCTGATATATCGATTGTTTTTTTCCCATTTTGTTTTGAAAAAGGAATTGCTTACGAATTGCCTCATATCATACTTGAAACTAGCTTGTTTCAAATATGGCGGACCTCGTGTGAGGAACGAATAAAAAATTAATCATCAATGGTTTAAGATGGTAATATCATACTTTGTTATGAGCAGAGAAATTAAACAAAATATTATAAACAAACAAGCGAAATTCAAGTCCGACATATAGTCATAGCAGTATAATACAGGTTTATGTCTTCAATATTCAAAATTTCAGGTTTTTTACTGTCAAATCAGGTTTTGTAAATAGGTCTACAACACTGAGGCCTAGTTTATACGTCCCACTTTGGCCCCAAATAAGACTATAAACAATAAACTAGGCCTAAAATAGGTGTACAAGTTGTCAAGTAGGAAATGTGATTTTCAATTTTCATATCCTCACTCTCGTTCTGTAATACTGGCTTTTACATGAAGTAGTGCCACGTCGAGAAGGAAGGACAAGATGGCGCCAAAATATCGAATTCAAATGTTAAGCATTTTACATTTTTTGTTTTTGTTTACATGTAAAACTTGACATCCTCCGCCATAATGGACTCTGAGGCTACAATAAAGTTGATAAAGTTGTTTTACGAGACTCCTCGAGCGCAGGTATAATTTGTGGGCTTTGAGCCTTTGATTTATACGCATTAGAATGTATAAATTTTGACAGTATTTTAACTTTTAAGTATTTATCGCCTGATTCCTGAACGTTTTGGGCCCGTCTAGCGGTCCGAGAATTCCAGAAATATATTGATGTTTGTAAAATAAGGATGATTTCTGACCTGCAAGGGTAGTTATGGGTATTTTTATTTGTGCAATGTGTGTTCTAGGAGATTTATACAACACTCCGTAAAAAAAGAGAAGCACAAAAAGCATATGTTGAGCCATCTTTCACAGATGAAGAAGTAAGAAGTCTGTCTGAAGAAATGGAAAAGGTTAGAAAATTTACGCAGATCTCTAATTCTGATGCATGGTCCCCAAATGAACAGACAACTTGTGCACTGTGAGAATATTAATAGTTTAATACCACTATGAATTTATGAAGTGTGAGCATTTCAGCTGAAGTGCATCAATTCAGCATTTTCATTGTGATTAGTTTTTTCAGCATAATGCAGGAATTACAGAAAACAGTGAATAGGGAGGTTATTGCTGTGAACTAAAGCATGGTTCGCACACAAAATTTTAAGCTTGTGTACAATTACAATATTTTTGAGGTGGAAGCAAACTTGCTGTGTGTCAATGTGTATGCTAGTCTGATTAGTTAACCATTAATAAGCAAATTTTCGTATAATTTATATAAATGTGTATGCTTGTTACGACTTTTTGGCTGAATACAGCAATCTGTTTTTTCTTGCAATGCCGTTTCAGCCTTCATGATTGGACTGGACAAAAATACGTTTGTCAGTTAGAGACAGATTGCGTCAGAGATTCAAGTATCGATTTCAGAGAAAATGAATCCATTTGGTGTAGTTTCAATTGTAAATTGTAGTGCTTGAGAACGGGATTCTCTAAAAATATTATATATTTGGTCAGGATTATAACTATAACTATGGATGCCTACATACCCAGTAGCGTAGCCAGCCTGTTGATTTGTCCTGCTATGCTAATATTTTGGTGTTCATTGACTGTGAAAACAATAGATTTCTAAAGACATGAATAATTATAATAGTTAACTCGAAATTTACATAGCGGGACAAAATCGTCAGGCTGGCTACGCCACTGTACATACCTTCAGTATTTTGCCATAAATAGAATACCTTGCTTCTAACTTTGTTCGATCGGGAAGATGCAGAACGAGTTTTTTAATTTTGTATCTTTATTACTTTCATTGTCTTTAATGAAACAAACTTCAAAATTTTAAAGTGTGATATGTAAATAGAGTTTTTCTTTTGCGTCAGTGAATTGTGCTCATATGATATTAACTACCCAAGGGCTAATTCCACGTGGGCTTTACTTCGTATTTCACTTGTTTCTTTTTAATTTCGTCCACTTGAATGAATTAATTCTGCTTGATTGGTCCGTGGCATCAAGTTAAGGTGCAAAAAGTAGGTGCAAGGCGCGAAAAAAAGGCGGAAGGCGCGAAGATTCGTTTATCTCACAGCCGAACGTTCAGCATTGGGATATGAGATATGCACCGCAATGCAACAGCATACTCAATAAGAGGACTTTTTTTTTCTTACGGTCCGAATTCATATTTTAGCGTTTCCTGCAATCAGATTGGCTACGCGAGCGGTCCGTATGAGGCCGTACGGACCGCGCGAAATTTAAAAGCACAGAGCCAACGCTAAAATATGAATTCGGACCGCAAGCAGAAGAATAAATCTATTTTTTACCAGTTTAGTTGGTCCGTATAGGAAAATATTTCCCTCGGTCTCAAAAACGGCCTTCGGCGTCGGGCTGTTTTTGAGACCTTGGGAAATATTTCCCTATACGGACCTCCAATCTGGTAAATAACATAAATATATCTTCAAAACATCAACTAGATTCCCTATTTTTAGAATATTGATGATACTCCTGAAGAAGAAAGACGAGAAAATTTCGAAAAATCTCCATGCAAATGTGATGACTCGATGATAGCTGAAACTGCTATTTCGGATTGCGATAGCAAAATGTCGGGGGCTTTTCAAAAGGAAGAAAAATTTGATGGCGGTGTTCAAAAGGAGCAGGTATTTGCTGGAATCTTGGACCTCTCGCAGACATTAAAAAATCCACACAAATTCTATCGATATTTTCTTAACTTTATGAATGATTTAGCTTTCTAATGAATATTTTTTTAGAAGCAACGTGAGTTGCTAAAGTGGTCATTGAAAATTGTAAACGATAAAGAAATTATTGTTGAAGGTCAAAGAAGGTATACACTTTATCTATAGTTCTTGGAAAAGTCCGGTTTTAACCTTTTTATTACTTTGTGCGCGCATCGCGATCGTTAAATATATACAAATTATTCTTGTTTGTAGCGGTGATCCTGCAGATATAAGTTGGAGAACGTCCGTGATACGTGACAGGATTTCAACAAATGTAGTTCGAAGTAGAAAAGGAACGTTGTATTTTCTTCTTGGGGAAATTGATAAAAATGACATGAATAAAAAAGGTAAAAAATTTGCCTTATTTCTGGTGAACATTGAACATGATTTGAAAGTTCAAGTAGTTAAACCATATATTAAAATGGACCCTAAAGGCAAAGCGGTGTTGCCTGCATTCGATCTAAAATCATATCTGAAATGTGAGAAATGGCGTTAAAAAGTATATTCGTTATAGGCTTTTCTGAGGAAATTATCAGTATGTTCAACTACGGATTTCCACCAAACTGGCGAGATGTATTCCAAAAGGTTGCACCTTTGGAGGACAAACGGTAAGTTACTGCGTGAGCATGATCTAATTGTCATTGTAATATAGCTACTCACTGTATATGAGGTATTTTGCATGTTGACTGGTGGAGATACTCATATTATGAGCTCATATACGCTGTGTAGCAAAAACAAGGTTGCCGACGTTTTCATTCAGGAGTAATAAACAAGAATTTTAAACATTTTCTAAAACTGCATTTTCCAAAATATTAATTTAATTGGCTAAATAATAACTTAACGTGTAAACATTCAGCAAAAGGTTGACTGAAATAATTTCAATAGCCGGTTTGGTTATCATTTTATGCACTGTTTATTACACTCATAAAATGGTATTTATATAGGCGCCCTTATAATTTTAAGACCTATTTGCGCCATTTTATGTGCGATTTTCTTCTTTTGATAGATGTGAATGAGAAATTAGTTAAGAATGCTCTTATGTATAAGAGCTGTTATTTAAACTTCAGTAATTCACTCGTTCACATCTATTAAAAGAAGAAAATCGCACATAAAAACGCAGCAAAAATTGCAAGTATAAACGAGCCTTTACTTGCTCTCTTGTCTTGCATTACACATATTACTTAGAAATTTGCTATAAAAATCCTACATTTTGAGAAAGAAATTGTATGCGCACACCAAGCTATTTGGAATGCAAAACTGGATTTATTTCGGCGACACGAGAATTTAAGGGTTTACATTTGCTCTGCGCCAAGAAATCAACGCTTTGTCACCGCTGTTTGCTTAAAAATTAAGGGCGCACAAAACGAATAGTGACCAAGAGCTGACTGTGCCTGTGGTGACAAACGATACAGCAAAGGAAAAAGTTGACGAGGAAGTGAGGGTGGTGCCTGATATTGATGATGTAGCCTGACCCCCCCTTGGCAGAATGACAAATTACCAAGTGCGGTGTCTCCCAAACCTAGTAAGAACGATCGAACGAAGAATAAACCAAAAACAAAAGTGACTTCAAGGCCACGTAAACAACATAGTAAAAAGAATCTTAAACATTCAAGTAAGTCGCCGATTGGTCATTTTAGAGGACTGGGGCCGGTTGTATGTAAAGCCAGTTAGCGCTATCCACCGGATTGTGTTTTTTTCAATCGCTTGTTTGCTAAAACTTTGATTAAATTTTAGTACTCCTAAGTCCTCGATCCTCTTTAGTAATTGTTGGTCCAAAAGTTCTAATTTTATCGTTTCTCGAGCATTTTTAGAACGGTTGAAAAAACACTATCCGGTAGAAAGCGCTATCCAGCCTGCGTTCAACCGGCCCTTCTTTTTTGGAAAAACTGCATGCCCGATCCCAGAGCGCATTCAACGTTAATTACAAATAAAAATGGAAATGTTTTGGAAATGAACAATTTCTAATAATATTTTTGTCAGAAAACGCTGGCTAGAAAAATTGCACAAAACTATATAGCAAACACTTGGTTTCAACAAAACGACGTTTTATTAACTTTTCTCTTTAGAAACATCTGGAACGGATGATATTCGGGAAATTGAAGTTCAGGTAAGGTGAATTATTATTTTATCTCGTACCATTCACTAAAATCCCGAATCTATCTGCATAGAGCTAGTGATATAAAAATATCAATTTTCCGTGCATTGCTGTAAGTATTGTGTAGTGAAATAACTGTACATCTCTTGACCAATCAGCATCCAGTAATTTTATCGTGCTAATAATAATTGTCCTGACGTAATAGATTACATTCATTAATCAGCTAATTTTTTCTTACCCTAAAAGCGATCCAGAAGTGGCAGGTTGATATGCCCTGCTTTAGATTACTGGCGAGGCCAAAGAATTAACAGTTTTGACGGTGAAATATCGATCATAAAATCAAATTTAGAAGAAGACTCTAAGCTAACTTTGGTGCGTAATAGCTCCTTGTGTAATTCGCTTTCATACTGTAACGAGTTCTATAGAGTTTGTTAGAGTTCATCAGGATTAAATATGGTCACCGCCATAGGATTAGTGTGAAAAATTGAAATCGGATTAATGGTGTAGTGTTGATAAATAGAGTTAGGTTTAGGTTTGAAGGTAGGATTATAGGTTTAGGGTTAAACTTTTAAAAGTCTACATACAGACAGTTCAGATTGGGGTACATTTTTTTTGCAATGGACCTCTTGCAGAATAGACCAACTTGAGATACAGATAGGTGAGAAGAAGGGAGAAAATCACGACAGCTAAAAAGAGCATACTGAAATTAGTGTCATTTCCAAGTTTTGGGTGCAAACCGTCAAGTAGTACGGAAATTGTACGGCGATTTTGTATACTTTTGTATACTTTTGTTACTATATCTTCGGTACTTTACAATATTTCGCTGCCAAACTTGGCAGCTTTACTGCGTTTGGTATGCTCTTTTCGGAAATTCCCATTTTTTCACTAGACTCAAAAGTTGGTCTATCATGCAATTATATGAAAAGTTGGTCTATCATCTTTGGACCCACGCTTTGAATTATGCATGACCAAAATCCCTCAACTAATATCCGTATAGGTGGAGACAAGTAGAAGCAGCAGTGGTTTGCGTCAAGCTCCACTGGTATCCTCTAGCGTACCAAGTGAAACGGAGGACATGGACTGGGCACCAGAAGATCCTTCAAAAACTGGTAATGTTAATCAACCTCTTGTGCAACTCGACTTGACTGTTATTTACTCGTGTTTCATGTCACAAAGACACAAAATTTTATTTGATACATGTTTTATATTTATAGCCTGAGGATATTATTTGGCCATGCATACTTCAAAATGGCCATGTCGGAAGTTTTATATAATGCTATTGGAATTATATTTGGATTTTATCATTTCGCATCTACTCCTATTTAAACCTATTACATTCTAACATTGCAGACATTCTTCTTATACAGTTGATATTTCGTGATGCTTTTTAGTAAAAAATAATAAATTAATTTCAGCTTTGCAGCGCATGAATATTCATGTTAACAATAAAATCATACTTGTTTCCTGAACTTGCGAGTCGGGCTATAACCTTCCTATTTACTCTAAATAAACGCGAAATAAACACTATTGGAAAATTTAGATTATAAGTTTGAAATTTTACATGATAAATTTTGGATGAGATGTTAAACGTTATTAACATAGACGTAGGTTGTATAAAATTCAAACTCTATATATATTTAATTATAGTTTACTCTAAAATCACTATTCTGATTTGTTAACCTCCGCATTTTTATAAACTTAACAACCGCTTTTTGCGATCATTTAGTTTTTTACGATAAAATATTTACTCTTTGTTTGACGTCGTTTTTTCATTTGAATGGCATGTCTCTGCATCTTTCTCGCTTTTTATTCTATGTAGAATATACAAAAATATATCGCCGTATATTATAAACCATTATGTAGATTCGACCGACAGCCGGACAAGCAATTTGTCGAGGAAAAAGAACTCAAAAAGTGTTTCGTTTTTGAAAACCGCCTTATTGCGGGGCGAAAGTCAGTCAGACGGATCTAGTGTGGATACGGATAGTGTTGTTCGAAAACCGAAAGAAAGCACACGCCGAAAAAAACCTCTGAAGCAAAGAACTCAATATATGGGCAATTTACGAAGTGAAAATGAAAGTGAAAAACAAACCGAATCCGATGCAGATGATTCAGTCAATATTTCAAGCAGTCCTGAACGATCGAAATCGAAAAGAACAAAAAAGGTGAGGAGAAGCCCAGAAACCCAAAGCGGCACAAACCTGACTACGAGAAGGAAAAATAAGTTGGAAAAAAAATATCCTTCGAAAACCAGTACGCGGGTTGAAGAAGCAACGGATTCTGATAACCCGGATGTCGTCCAGGAAATCGACCTCGATTCATTTGATGATTCTGAACGACAAAAAATTGTGAAAAGTTCTTCAAGGACCATTTTTTTGAGGCCTGCAAGGGGTCGTTTTATTGCACGCAACAAAACGAATGGTGAATTTGTCAAGCCTGTGAAGTCGAAAAGCGATAGAAGAACACTATTAAAACAGTGAGTATTATTAGTGAAATTCAGGTTTGACTTCAACTGCAGACCTATATCTGCCTTCCCTATAATTTTTTGGCTTCTGGTTAATTGAGTCTTTTCTTTAGGCCAATCAAGGAGTCCCAGCAACAGAATTCTAAGAAATTAAAAGGTAAGTGTTAGTACACAGTTGTACATCAACCCATGGTTTTAGGGGTATTATATTGCTTCAAAGTGAACTATTTTTCTCGATAGCAATTATGTTGCCTTGGTGCTGTTATTTGATCATCACGCTATTCGACTGGGCATTAAGTCCACTATTTTGGGGGGGGGGGTTACAAAATCAGTTTTTTCTTCAGTTTGAAATTTTTGTTTCACCCAATCCAAATTTGCCTTGCCCTAGTGGCTCTTTTTGGCAAATGCATGCGTGTGCATGACAGTGGAAGCATAACAAACTTTTACCATGGGTTTGAGCCAATTGATGATTTCTTGTCTGAAAAACCAAGGAATCGCATTTACTTATACGTCTGCGATATACTGTGGAGAAATGTATATTCCTCATAAATAGACGGTTATATGCATTGATAATGAAAAATTACATTAAACCAGTTCAAACAGGAAAGTTGGCATCCAAAACAGGGACATTAGCTCGGAAACGGGAGTTGCGAGATATGTTGGAACAACAAGATGAAGGATATGAAGATGACGCCTTCGAAGGAACGCCGTTTAGAAGCCATAAGCATAGCAGAATGGTACACTAAATTATATTTATAAAAATATTGCAAACAGAATGTTTTGTTTGAACTTTTACAGTGATCCTAGTTTCGCGTGATTCGTGACCGCCTTCAGCGAAGATTATTCAAAGAGCATTTGCTTTTTTCCACATTTCGCTTTTCGTATACAAAAGAGTTTTCGTACAAAGATATTTAGAGCTTAAATATTCGTGGTTATTGTATCATGTACGTATGTAGAAATATTGAAGTTTCTTTAATTATATAGTTTTAATACAACTACACCAGCTAAGTTAATCCGTATCAATAATGAAATCACAAATGCAATAATAACATGGTAATCTGAGCATGCGTGCGGATTTAAACTCAAGCAGGTAGGCGCATGCAGGTTTAAGTATAAAACTAATAGTACATTGTCCTGGAGACGTGCTAGTTCTCTCTCTTTAAAGCATTAACTTGGCAATCAACCCCATTAGTTCATATCTTTTGCAGCACGAAGTGTCCCCAATTAGAATTGACCACTCAGATGATGTTTTTGACGAGACCTCTGACAGTGATATTAAAACGCCAAGCAGCAGAACGCCAACGAATCGGCTTCGGCCAGCTGGACCGTTATCCACCGTCAGGTCTGACGTTGACAATATGACTCCTGGCTTGTTGAACACCGTTAATAGGTAAAATGAATAATTCACTGATGTTACAATGCTCGAAAACGTTTTTATTGACCGTTTGAGTTTTGTATGTTGTTTTCGTGTGGCGTTCGTGTCTGGTAGAATCAAGATTGCAGTTCTGTGATTGTATAAGCCTAACGATGATGTAACTGTAATCACGATCCGTTCTGTGCATTTTTTCTGCTAATAACAAACCAAACGTTCCAAAAGTTTTTCCTCCTGAAAGTTCGAACACCATAAATAATTTATAGAAGAAGTGCGTGCAGAAGACATGCGCAGTTTGAACTTCGCATCACTCTAAGTTCGAATTCGAGCACAGTTAGTTGCAAATTAATTGCTTGCTATGTATACTAATATACTATAGGCCTTACTGCGATTTTCCATTTTGCGCAGGGATAATGTTGATCGTTACGTTAATCAGTTAAAGAGACAAAAACTACGTAATAAGCATAAAAAGGTAAGGTTCGGCTTTTCCACGTAAGATCGTCTCCAATTATAAAAGTAAAATTTATAGTCTTCTATAATATATAGTTGTTCTTCATTCATAAAAGGCTTTTATAGTCTGGATTTTGCAGTGAAAGGAGGCTGTTAAGAACAGTTTATAGGTTTAAATATAATGTTTTGGGCCACTTCCTAAATGATCACAAATTAGACGTAGGAATATTGTATTTTAAGGCCTTTCAAGGTTTTACATGAAGGATATTATGCGAAGTATATATTAAGGTCGCTTACGCGTGTACCTTTTTCATATTGGGAAAATGTATTTTGACAGCCTCTTCTGCACGCAAGCATCTCTAGTATAGTATCAGGAATAGTTCCTACTCGGCATGGGCTCTATCTGTTTCTCTCCAACCAAAATTGGGACATGTCGCAGCTCTCGGAAGCTTTCGTCCAATTGGATAATGCTTTTCTATGCTTTCTAAAGAACGAAGCCATGTTATTGGTTGAAAAAGAAATGTATTGTAAAGTTCAACCAATGAAAATCATTCAAGCAAGGAGCTGCGACACAACCCAACCAATTTACACAAGCTGAATATAAATGAACATTTTCCAGTCCATTGGAAAGAAAATTGAATGTGAAAAGAGAATTTTTATTAAACTCACCAAAGCCAAGACGATCACGATTAACACCAAAATATGTGTAAATAAGTGCCCCCCTTGAAATAGCCCCTCGGTTGTTATGTAGGTAGACGTCTCGCGAACACCATTGACGAAAAAATCAGTCAACGATAATATGACGGAGGGTGTGGAGTACAGTTTTAATATTCATAAGTTGACCACAATTGAAGACGAGGAGGACAAAGATTTCTATTGGTCTGATAATGAGTGAATGGAAAAGAGATGGACCGGTAGTAATTTTAGATCTATTTAGACAGGAGGGGGATAAGTCGCGATGTGTGAGATGTGTCTTCGCGAATATATTTTTTTGCTCGTGCATGAATGAGTCTTGGAAAATTGAATAACTGCTTTTAGGAACAAACATTTCTGGGCGAAAAAATGATCGAGCAGTTGACTCGTGTTAAAAATTAATTCCTTCACTTTAGTTTCAAAATGCAGCAAAAAATCGGTTTTCGGTGGCAAATCGCGATTTACTCTTTTAACCTGCAAACATGCATGCTCTTATAATTACAAGAGTCGATTGCGTCTAGAAACGAAATCTTACAGGGGCATGCAGCAATTTTAAAAAAACGCACACAATATCGAATGTACGCACATATAATTTTCTTGCCACCAACACGACATTATCCGTAGGTGACGTCATTTTTTGCCGCTAGTGTGTTGTCAATAATGGCGCAGGCTTTCTCCCTAAAAGGAAATACATAATAAAACAATTATTGAATTCGGTTTTCGCATGATATCGAGAATTATCAAGCCTCAGTTTGCGTTATCCGCCTCAGCTTCGCTTCAGCGAATAATGCAAACTTCGGCTTGATAATTCTCGATATCACACTCAACCTCATCCAATAATTGTTAAATATACGTAATGTACGCACATTCATATAGAATTTAAAAGTAATTTACGTTATCTTCTCTTGCGTAAATGGTCTTATCGTATTTGTAAATGTTGACAATCCCAATGTGGCGTAGCCAGCCTGACGATTTTGTCCCGCTATGTAAATTTCCAGTTATTATAATTATTCATTTCTTTAGAAATTTATTGTTTTCACAGTCAATGAACACCAAAATATTAAGATGAGTACAAATCGTCAGGCTGGATACGCTGCTGACAATCCCAGGTTTATCAATTTCGGGGTAATACAGTATCTTCGAAAATAATAATTGTAATATTCAACAAGTTGAAAAAGGCTATATGTCATGTTGTTTATAGACCAAATATTGTAGTGTTCTACTCCGTTAGAAATAAAGTTTATTATATAAACATAGAGTGTCTCGCTTCTGCAAAAAATCGAACGAACGTAAAAAATATTTTTAACGATATTTTTACTTTTTGCAAGTGCGAACCGCGTAGAAAATTATGTTTTAGGCTGAATTAGAGATGCTGTAACGGTTTAAAAACCAGGCACCAAATATAATTACATAATAAGGTTGTAAGTTCCGTGCAACAATAGCACTTATCCATTACGAAACAAAAACTTAAAATTCAGCCTCCCTTGAGTTGAAGATGAGAATAGATTTTTTGAAAAGAAGCTTCTCCGTTCGCATGGAATAAGCGGTAGAATTAAGAAAAGACATTGGCAATAAAATGATGTTTTTACCACATTCAGGCCAAAAATGGTAACAATATTTCCGTTTGTAGTAAAAACGTATACAAATTTACAAACTTTGGACTTTGCAAGGCTATATTTTCCGCATTTAGCTACAACATTTCGCAACCAAACCTTACATTTCTACTGATTCCAGTACGTTCATTTCAGCTGGGGTGATTTGATTGCATCTCCTTACATAGATCAAAATGTAGTCTATAATAGTAATGCAAAGGTCTAGGTTCTCAAGATTTCAATATTCCAAAGGAAATAAAATCAACAGTTCTTTAAGAACGCAATAGATTTCACGAATAAGGAAAGGCTTAAACTCTCTAATCACTAATGGCTGCTGACACGTCAAGTGCCATAAAAAACACAAACTGGGATTTTCCGGAAAAATCCCCAGGAAAAACACTTTGTCTTTAAAGCCAAGAGATTTTAGTCACCTGGGAAGTTGTGGGTCACGGCAAAAAACGAGGTGTTGATAAAGGTAATATGAATATTTTTCGGCAACTACGAACCGAACCGTTTCCATCTTTAGCTACAACCGCTAGCGGTAATTTGTTAGGGCACAGCAAAACTAATTTCCACGTACATCAACACACTATACGGGATCTTTGTTGCGCTATTTTATTGCTTTGCATGTTGCAAAAGTGGGGTGACAGAGACATTTCCTGAATTGAATAGTTTTCATTCTTCGCTTACGATTATGTAAAACTTAGTCAAGGCACGCTGGGACCGGGGGGGGAGGTTGGCAGGCGCAACTTCCAAGCAAGGGCAAAGGTTGCCCCTTTCAAATCGAAGGATTGCATTTGGTTTTCCTTCCGCTGAGAACGACTTGAATCACTTGATGTAGATCAGAAGAGTATCTCGAGCATTTTCGCGATGGAGAGCAATTGGAAAATTATTCTCAAGGCAGTTCATGGTGTAATCGGCATGTATGCTGGCATATGTGGTTGTGCCGTCTTCGCCTCGACGTACGGCAACGCAAATGCAGCTGTCTGGGCAGTAATATCCGCTCTTGTTGCCCTGCTGTATGTACAAGTTAATCAGTCTGTTTATCGTGATATAAAGCGTGGGATAACTTCACAATGCTTTTCGTTGTATATCATGCTCGCCGGCGTGTTCATGCTTGCAGGAATTGTGGTCATGATAACATTTTTGGCGATTGGGCTCTATTACAAAGAAGGTGAGAACGGCGTCAACACGCCACTGAGTAATATGTATTCTACGGGGATGAGTGTGATTATTAATTGGGATGAACTCAATTATGTCCTTTGAACTGTAAACAAACTGGAACGATAACTCATGGGGGGGGAAATTGAAGCTAGTGCTTTTTACTTTTTCTGAACTGAAATACTTGACGCCCAATGTTGAGCCGTACATGAAATTAAAGCCATTAAAAAGTTATACTACCTGTAGAAATTTCGAGACTTTAGCTTAAAGAAAAATATCTAAAAAATATGTGAAAATTCCCCGGTTTTTTGCCGGTTGGTAAGTACTATTTAAAATACGAGCGGCCGCGAGTATTTTAACGTGCTTGTTAAATGAATAAATTAAGCTTAATGCATATTAGGGCGTGTGTGTAACAAAGTTATGAATACTAATTAAGATTGGTTGTATCAAAGTTAATATATTAATTAACAATTCATGAGACCTTTATGGAGAATTACAGATGTATACATGCGACCAAAATACTGCGCAATGATTGCAAGTTAGACTCATTAATTATTCATTAATTTCACAATTGCTTTTGTTTTTTTAAATATTTCCTTTGTAGTTTAAGTCATTAAATTTCTACACCAAATTTAACTTTTCAATAGCTTTGATTTGACACACAGCCCAACGTCCGGCGTCGAGTATTTCGTCCCAAAACTCAGAAAAAGTATTTTGGCTTCAAGCTGAATTCAAGTTGTCAGGAGTTAGCGTTCCAGTTGTATAGAGTTCACTAATTTTGTCATCGTAGCTCTCGGTCTTGCAACTTGCAAGCCATATCTTTCGCTCACCCACGTCTGTCCATTCGATATTTGAATGTATTCATTCAGTCGTATACATGTAACTGACCCAGTAACATTTCAATGAATGACATAATTTCGATCCATTCCGTCCTATGGCTATATGTGTCTTGCATGCAAATTTGATCCGCCATACAGGTGTTTTCGACATGCAGAGTGATGCAGTAGAGTTAGATCAAAATTCCTTAATTCTACTTCACCACTGGGCACTGGTTTACGTCACTACGAAGTCACGTGAGATAGCGGCCACGATAGTGTGACCACAGATTAATACCCATATGTCTCACTTCTGACTAAAAAGCGTAAGTGATTCGTCACTGCGCATCACTTGCCCCGCCCCCCCCCCACAAGAAATGCCATTCAATGTAACTATTCACCCCCCCCCCACAAGAAATGCCATTCAATGTAACTATTCACATGCACACTTTTTAAATGAAATATGTTTGAAAATATACCGTCGAACAGGGATTTCTACGGCTTATAATTCTCCGCTCCTACGACTATAAAAAAAAGAAAACACTCGTACAATATTGAAAACGAGGTACTCTTAACTCACTTTTCCAAAACGCGTATAGATGATGATGGTTCAAAGACAAACTTAACCACACAGGCCGTGTCTCTAGTAAATGAAAGGAGTTTATTTTCATGTATAAAATAGTTCGGCTCCATTTTGAAATTTCGGGAGGGTGAATGCCTTTAGTCACTTGCTGAGCAAGCGCTTACGCTTTTTTAATCAGAAGTGAGACATCTGGGTATTAATCTGTGTGTGACGATATTGAGCTTTAGTAGCGAACAGGATTTTGAGCGAAGAACAGTGTTGTTTAAATTTTTTAAAGACAAAGTGCAACCAAATTAAAACATGGAAGATAAACAGGATTCCCTCGACAACGATGAGAACGGAGACCTGTTACTGGAAACAGAAGCGGAAAATAGCCCGATTTTGGCAGTACGCTTATGAATATTAATAAAGCAATGCTTCCCATAAGCGAAAAAGGCTAAATTAGCCACTGACCACCCACAGTCTGAATCAGTTACTAACGCCACAACTGATGTGCAAATGCTACTAGAATCTAGTACAGCCGAATCCGAAGCAGCGAAGGATTGTAAAAGTGAAGCCGACCTTTTGCTTACTGAAATAGAACAGACTCTTGACCAAGAGGAACGAACTGACGACCCCGTTTCGGAAAAACGTGCAAATATTGCAAACCAACGCTGGCTGCAACGACTAAGTGATGACCAGCTTAAAGAAATGCTCGACAATTACAACCGACCAGCAAACTGCGACAACCAGAACGGATCCATCCATTGAGCGCATCACTACCTACAATCCTGGCAGGATGGGACAAAGAAGCAATATACTACGTACTTGCGACAGTGGGAAGTGTACTGTGGTAAACAAAATACTAATCAGTTTTCTGCCACTGTCACACAAGGCGTAAATTTTCTTGGGCAACTCCATGGAACGCAGAAACTTTCTTACATTAGAATAAACACTGCCAGGTCAGCTTTATCTCTTTTCATCAGTCCCTTTGAAGGGTTCACATTTAGGAACCACCCGATTGTGTGTCATTTACTCAGAGGCGTGTTTTCCACTGTCACGATCTTCGCTACCTCGCTATCAAAACATATGGGATGTATCCACCGTGTTAAATCACCTCAAGACACTACACCCCCGTCGCAGCTGAACCTTCGGGATTTAACCTTGAAACTAGAACAATGCTCATTGCGCTACTATCCGGACAGCGCTTCCAAACTATACATGCCCTGGATATCATGAGCATGAAAGTGGAATCTCATCCCATTCAGAAGTATGTTTTCCCAATACACATTGGTGTTGCAATTATACCCAGAGGATAAACAGTTATGTATCTTCGAAGTTCTTCAAACTTACTTGGAAACGACTACACATGCAGTTATTAATTAGCTACCAAAAACCTCACCGACCTGTGAAGTCTGAGTCAATTGCTCGTTGGCTAAGAACAGCGCTCGGCAACACTGGAATCGACACTAATGC